CTCCGGGTCCGCCGGGTAGGCGGAGTTTGTACCTTCAGACGCGCAGGGCAGCTGAATCAAGTGCACTTACCGCCAACAGCGCGAGACGAATTGAAAACAAATAGGAGCGCAAGGGTTTATCTTTGGCTTTTCTACAGAAATATTTGACGATCGACTAGGAATGCCTTGAAGATCGACCGGTTGTTGACCACTGCTCTAGATACTGTCCCCAGCCAGTCCCTCTGTCATGGCCCGGGAGCAATTATTTCCTGAGCATTCCTCTGATACATGTCACCATTGATTCACATCACAACAGCATGATGCAGGGCTATTTATGTCCCATTTCTTAATTTCACATTCCAGACCGCTTATTGCATTCACCCTGTCACATTACAGGGATAATCCAGGAACAGAGCTGGAATATAGCTTATGTGTGTGTTGAAGTGTGTCAAATCTTAACTGGTTCCCTGGGTCCCTCTTTCAGGGGCCAGGGATCAGTATGTAAGTGGCTCCTGTGGGTGATAGGCCCTGATGTCACAGGACATAGTGCTCCTTCGCTTGAGGGGTGAACCAGAATGGAAAACGCAAGTAAACACAGAGGCAAAATGGGAGGAGCTTCCGATAGTGGTTTGTGGAGTCAGTGGACTGCCAGTGGGTTTTCGCAGAATAAATGCACTTTCAGAGAAAAGGGATTTATACCGCTGGGGGAAAAAAAAGCGACACAGTTTATTCCTGCTTTTCTGAAAACTGCCTTAAATTATTCATTTGTTTGGAAACTCAGATCACAGCTGGACTACATTGCTGCGGCAGTTCAGGGACTAGGTTTCAGCAGTGGTGGAGGAGACAAGCCAAGCAAACAAACACACGGAAACCAGATGGTAAGCAGATAGCCAAATAGACAGAGGCAGGCCCCGAGTCAGAGCAGGGCAGACAGAGGTGTTGTGATATTGGCCCTAAAGTTAATTTGTAGCGTGCCTGCCCTTACCAAAAAACAACATGAAAAAATAATTTGTTTTTCACATGTGAAACTTCATATCCAATTTATCACCTGTGAAAGTTTTAACATGTGAAACCACAAATTTCACATGTAAAACTGCAATTCAAAAAACATGTTATTCTCCTCACATGTGAAAAGGTGGTGTTAACATGTGAACATGAACATTTAATACATGTAAAAATATGGTTTCACATGAAAGTTTAAGCTCAACATGTGAAAACAGCTATTTCTCATGTCAAATTTGCAGTTTCACATGTGAAAATCACATTTTCACTTGTGAAACTGCAAATCACTTGTGAAACTGCTAATTTCACATGTGTTTTTTTTGTAAGGGTGTAGCAGTCCTCCAGACATTATTCATCACAAGGGTTGGGCTTTCCACCTGGACACATTTGTTTCACCCCAAGTTGAGCAACGTCAGTGTACCCATTATAAGTGATGTACAACTCTGTGGGCTTAGCTTTTAACGCCAAGCACTAGTGTACAGTGCTGTATAATGAAACATGCTGGAATGTGTTATGTGCTCTATTTAAAGCATGCAAGGCTCCCTGAAGGTGAGCATCTGGCCTCCCAAATTATGATGCATAACATAACATGAATCTTAACTAATGCAGGATATTAACCATTTATTTTATTATTATAAAACAATTTTAATCAAAAGGAAGCTTTGTATGACTGTTGAGGCTGACCAAGGCTTGGTTCATGCTACAGCTCTCCCACAGCCCCGTCATCAAAGGCTCTATTGATATTCTACAAGTTCACTTCTGACCAATTTATGTTTTGCGTGTCACGTGATGATTGTAAAATGTTATATTGATTGTTTATTTTAGAGTAACACGGGGTGCCCTTGAGACAAATGATTATGATTGGGTGACCACCGGCCCTCCACATAACACATCTCTAATCACTCCCTGTCACATCCTACTCTAAACAGTATCACATAACCATCTCCACATCATTCTATATCACTGTCCATATTATCCCTCCTGCATACCCTGTATCGCTCTACCTCCCCCATGTCATCCTACACCACCCGTTATCTGTCACCATCCATTTTACCTGGTTATTCCCTACATGCTCTGCATTAGTCTTCAAACCTCATTACTCCCATATCACTCTCAATATTCCTCTATCACTCCACATCCCTATGGCTCTCTATCTTCTCCAAAGCACTCCATCCTGGGTTCAACATCATAGGTTCCCATTTTGGTACAGTACCTACCTACTACCTAGACTGTCTGCAGCTGTTCTTTTCCTGCATTTATCCACTGACTTCACAGCTGTGTGTGGGTTGCGCTGCCTGCCGCCCAGGGTTTCTTTGCACTCTCAGGCTCTTATGTAAGACAGAGGCAGGTGCTGCAGACACGTTTCACTCTGGACATGTGAAGTTAGTGTGTGTGTGTGTGTGAGAGAGAGAGAGAGAGAGAAAGAGAGAGAGAGAGAGAGAGAGAGAAAAAAAGTTGGCTCTAGGGAAGCTAGCTATAGTAGCAACTGAGCCACTGAAAGGTAAAAATGGCGACCTCTAAACCAAACATTTGCTGAAACCGTGACCAGACACAATAGACTCCTTTTATGCTGATTTATGCACCATTCTATTAGACAGTTAAAAAAAAAAAAAGATTTATCTTGTGCCAATTATTACAGTTTCACATATGTATATGATTACATCAATGTTCATACATTGTGTCCCATATTGCAGCGTATATGACGTATGGCTTGCACTTCTGCTCTTCTCAGAATCATGTGTCTCAGAGGACATAGATCACTGCTCTGCTCTCATACATGAGCTATGGTGATATTTATGACTTGAGACCTAGCAGGTTGGTATTTATGAATCTTGACCTGGAGGCAGCTCTGCAGAGTGGTCACTAGCTGGTCACAAAGTCATAAAATCTGATTTTAAAACTAATCCTAGCCTTAACCCTAACCTTAACCACACTGCTAACCCTAATGCCTAATCCTAACCTTAAAGACCAAAAAGCAAATTTTTGTTTTCATCAATCTTTACGATATAGACAATTTTGACTGCAGCTGGCCCATCTAGCAGAAATGTAAATGTTAATGTAAAATTGCTCAGTTCTGTCTCCAGGGCAAGATTCATGACAATAACAACCTGTTGAGCCCACTGGACATTCCTTGTACTGTTAGCCAATCTTATATGGTGGACAGAGATATTGACGGACAGGTGAAATTAGGTGTATGGAGATTACAAGGCCAACTAGAAATCTTCTTCATCTTGTCCACCTGTAACTTCATTAAATAAATCCACTGCATGCAGCGATATGACTCCGCGTATCCGTTTACATATTTCATTTCAATGCGTTCTTCCCCCCTAGAAGCAGCTGATGTAAATATTGAGAAACAAAAACTGCATAAATAAATAATTTGAAGGAGCTGCTGCTAAAACAAAGCAAACTAAAAAGAGATCCCTTTTTGAAATGATTGAACAACCAAATTGAAAGTGGGACGAATGAGAATGGGGCGGCAGGTAGCCTAGCGGTTGACAGTGCTGGGCCAGTAACCGAAGGATTGCTGGTTCGAATCCCCGAGTCAACTAGGTGAAAAAATGTCGATGTGCCCTTGAGCAATGTTCTTAACCATAATTGCTTCTGTAAATCGCTCTGGATAAGAGCGTCTGCTAAATGAGATGTATTCTGAGACACGTGAGGGGTGCCTTCCCGCTGACGAGCTTGGCAGCATGTACCTGTAGTCTTTCAACGACAGATTGAAGAGTGTTTCAGGCGTTCCAAATCCGGATATGAAATTAAACTTTCATTTCGCATTGTTCTGGTTCTCGGCCAAGACCGGCATAGACAATTATTCCAGCTTTTAAAAACAAACGTTCCCGACTATCAGCAATAGAACAAATACAAATGTTGCATGTCTTATCTATCAGTGTAGAAGTGATAAGATGCCAGCCTACTGCCAAATAGGTCAATGATTTCATTATTTTTCATCGCATATAGTTGCACATTTTGTTGACCCTATGGTTCACCTCAAGGTGTTCTGTATCTGTCATTGCTAAAAAGAGAGCCAGACATCACCAACTCTGACCAACTAAAAATAAGATAAATGGAATTCTGTGTGAACTCTAAGCTACAGACAACAGACCGTATGGAGTAATTAAGATATCTCAAACGCCAAAGGGCATGGAACTATGATATTGTGTTTTAGTCAAGGGATAGATAGTCAATCTTGTATCTGCTGCAATTCTATCCCCTAGGCCAGCAGCAGGCCTGAGTGACGTGTAGCTGGGTCCTCAGGGGAAACATTTCAAACCAGGCCAACCTTCCGACCCCCGATCTATATGCCAAGAAAACTAGCCCCAACACCACTTATCATTCTGTCCATGTTAGGGTCAGGGGGAAGGGAGGGGACAACTTGGCTGTGGACGTGCTAATGCTAGCTGTCCCCTATGAGACAGGCCGTGACTGTGGGGGATGGAATTGCTGTCCCTGAAGACAGAGTGAAGAGGATGGCAACCCCATTGAAGACACATTTTGTCATTCTTGTCCTGAGACAGAGGGAGGCGGGGTGAAAGAGAGAGTGCCTGCGTGATTGCATGTGTTTTGTGTGCGTGATCTCCCCCAGTCAAATACATAGAAGCAATGTATCTTTTAATTTCAAGCTTAATCAACATCATTTTGCAAACTATTAATGTTGCTAAAGCAGGTTATAACAATCCATAGTTAACTAAATTAAATACAATTAAAAAAAAAAAAACTTGACCAAGAAACAGAGCTGTAAAGATAGTAAAGCTATACCTGAACCATTACACAATGTCTCTCTCATGCTAGCTCCCACTCTCCCTGCATTTTCCCCACATTCTAAATTGGCTTTTTAAGGTGTGACAGCAGTGTTTTACAGTCTTTTTTACAAAGTGTGAAATATAATAGGACCCTCTAAGCCTCCATCTCCCTCTAGTTTCTAGTGAGAGAATGTGATTTATAACGCTATTGAGATCCCCCAGCTGCACCCCCTCCTCCCTCCAATGGAAACGCTCGTAGCGTAATTACTTTACAAGATGGATGGAGCCCATCCAGGGTGCCCTGGACCCCCAGCTAAATCAAAGCCCCCTTTCTGTCGGGTCGAGAACCGCTCGCAAGAATGGCTCACGCGTCAGAATTGAGTGCACCTCCCATTCCCCCAGCATCTCTCATACATCCTCCTCTCACCTGTACAGCGCCACTCTGTGCCGTAGATCAGGCCCCTGCAGCACCTATGAGCGAGAGGGGGATGGAGGTAGAGAGAGACAAGGGGGAGACTGAGATGCAGGTGTGTACCACAGTAGAGGACACTGCACGACTCTGCCCTGTCATTCAAAGACGAATGAAAGGGTTTCCAGCTTTAAGAAATGAAATGCCAAACTCTGAGCCTGTGTGTGTCATACACTCACATCAATGGGCCCGGTCAGCACCCGGTCCAGTCACACACACTGTTTGTCTCTGGCATGCGCAGCGGCATACTCCCAAACTCACACATTCACATGCACACCCACACACACCCTGACAGACACATGAGAGCACACAAACAGGATTGAGTCCTCCCTTTCTTTCTCTCTTCTCTCTCTCTCTCTGTACCTCCCTCTCTCTTCCTCCCTCTCTCGCTCTTCCTCTCCTCTCTCTCTCCCTCTCTCTCTGTACCTCTCTCTTCCTCTACATTATCTCACTCTCCTCTCTACCTCCTCCTCTATCTCTCTTTCTCTGCTCTCTCTCTCCCTTCCCCTCTCTCTCTTTCTCTGTCTCTCGCTCTTCCTCTCTCTCTCTTCCTCCCCCTCGATCTCTCTTCCTCCTCTCTCTTCCACCCTTTCTCTCTCTCTCTCTCTCTCTCTCTCTCTCTGTCTCTCTGTCTCTCTGTCTCTCTCTCCCTCCTGAGCCCGGCTGTAACTCCCAGCTCCCCTGCCTAGCTCCCAGGTCTTGCCCCTAGGCATGGACCAATTTACTGGAACTTGTGTGTGCTTGCGTGCATGGGGGTGTGTGTTTGGCAAGTGAAGTTATGCGAGGGCTGTAGCTGTTTTAATCCATGATGAAGTGTAGCTGTTGCATTTGAAATGGCTCAGAGTGATTACCCCTCCTAAGACCACCCCTCATCCCTTTGTTCTACAGGCACATCATGTCACGGTTTCGGCCGAGGCTGCCTCTCTTCCTTGCTCGGGCAGGCTTCGGCGTTCGTTGTCTCCGGAATACTAGCTGCCACCGTTGCATGTTTCTATGTTCGTTTGCTTTTGTCTAATTGTTGTCACACCTGTTTTCGTTTAGTGAATTAGTGTCCTATAAGTTCTCCTTGGGTTTGTGTTAGTGTTGTGTGTGATTGTTTTCACTGTCGTGCTTTGTTGCTGGATGTTTTGACTATTTGCTCGGTAGAGCTGTCCTCCATAGTTTGGAGAGTTTTTTCGCACCTGTCTGTGCGCCCGTTTTGTTTCGCCTGCGCGCGGAGTTTCGCCTTCGGGCTATTTAGTGCTTGCACGGTTAGAGATTTCACTAAAGTCTTTGGAACTATACTTCTGCGTCCTGCGCCTGATTCCACCACCACACCCACTTACACATCCTTGACAGAATCACACACCTTTAAATGGAATCAGCAGGAGCCAAAGCAGCGCAGGCGACGCTGGAGGACAGGGTCCGCCAGCTAGATGACCAGATCCTGCGGATGGGGTCCGCATTGCAGGAGGTGATCACCACCATCAGAGGCTGGGAGACCCGAGGGACACCTCCACTACCATCGTCCCTGCCCGCGCCATCGGCAAGTCAGCCTCTTCCCGCTCCGGAACCCAGAGGAGTTCGACTCTCGCTCCCGAGGGCCTACGATGGGACCGCTGCCGGGTGTCAGGGATTCCTTCTCCAGGTGGAGCTTTACCTGGCCACCGTGCACCCGGCGCCCTCGGGGCACGAGAGCGTGTCCGCCCTGATCTCCTGCCTTTCCGGTAAAGCGTTGGAATGGGCCAACGCAGAGTGGAGGAGAATAGACGCTAACACCATCACCTACGACGAGTTCTCCCGCCGCTTCAGGGCGGTGTTTGACCATCCCCCGGAGGGGAAAGCGGCGGGGGAGCGTCTGTTCGGCCTCCGGCAGGGGAGGAGGAGTGCCCAGGAGTTCGCCCTAGAATTTCGCACTCTAGCGGCGGATGCAGGGTGGAATGAGCGGGCCCTCATCGATCACTATCGATGTAGTCTACGTGAGGACGTCCGTAGGGAGCTGGCCTGTAGGGACACCAGTCTCTCGTTCGACCAGTTGGTCGACATGTCCATCAGGCTGGATACCCTGCTAGCTACCCGCGGACGTCCCGAGGGGGGTCCGTCCATTTCACCCTCCAGCGCTTCCGAGCCGTGCCCCATGGAGCTCGGTGGCGCTGGCGCTAGAGAGAGGAGGGGTCGGAATACGAGGGGGTCCATCTCCTGCACCAACTGTGGTCGGGGAGGACACACCGCGGCTAGGTGCTGGGGATGGCCTCCTAGGGGGGAAGACGACAGGTCCCGCACTGGGGAGTCCTTCCAGATGAGTAGGCGCCCCACTCACCCAGAGCTCTCTGTTGCACACTTTTGTATACCTGTGCGTTTTCCACAGGTAGCACCTCATTCCCAGCATAAGGCGCTGGTAGATTCAGGCGCGGCTGGGAATTTTGTTGATAAGCAATTTTGTTTAGCCTTAGGGATTCCCCTTCTACCTGTTGACGTTCCTTTCCCCGTTCATGCCCTAGATAGCCGTCCGTTGGGTGCGGGCTTGATCAGGGAGGTTACAGCGCCACTTAGGATGTGCGCGCAGGGGGGTCATCAGGAGATGATCCAGCTATTTCTGATCGACTCGCCTGCGTATCCGGTGGTGCTGGGCATGCCCTGGTTGAGTACCCATAACCCATCTATTTCGTGGCAGGAGAGAGCTCTGATGGAGTGGTCTGCTCAGTGTGTGGGTCGATGTTTGGGCGTTTCCGTAGGGGCTACCTCGGTGGAGAGTCCAAACCAGGTGCCCGCATTGCACGTTCCCCCTGAGTATGGGGATTTGGCTATTGCGTTTAGTAAGTCGAGGGCGACGCAGTTGCCGCCCCATAGGCAGGGAGATTGTGCGATAGACCTCCAGGCAGGAGCTGCGCTCCCACGGAGCCATGTGTATCCTCTGTCTCAGGAGGAGAAGAAAGCTATGGAGACTTACATAGACGAATCGCTGAGACAAGGATACATACGGCCTTCCACTTCCCCTGCGTCCTCGAGTTTCTTTTTTGTGAAGAAAAAGGATGGTGGGTTACGCCCGTGCATCGATTACCGTGGTCTCAATCAGATCACGGTGAAGTACAGTTATCCACTCCCGCTGATTGCGACCATGACTGAGTCATTGCATGGGGCGCGTTTCTTCACTAAATTAGATCTCCGGAGCGCGTACAACTTGGTGCGCATCAGGGAGGGCGATGAATGGAAGACAGCCTTTAGTACCACCTCGGGCCATTATGAGTATCTTGTCATGCCATACGGGTTGATGAACGCTCCGTCAGTTTTCCAATCATTCGTGGATGAGATCTTCAGGGGCAGGGGGTGGTTGTGTACATAGATGACATTCTCGTGTACTCGCCTACCCGAGTCGAGCATGTGGCCCTGGTGCGCAGAGTGTTGCGGAGGCTGGTGGAGCACGACCTGTATGTCAAGGCAGAGAAGTGTCTGTTTTTCCAGGAGTCGGTCTCCTTTTTGGGGTATCAGTTGTCTGCGTCAGGGGTGAAGATGGAGGTAGACCGGGTGTCAGCCGTGCGTAATTGGCAAACACCAACCACTGTGAAGGAGGTGCAGCAGTTTTTGGGGTTTGCGAATTACTACCGGAGGTTTATCCGGGGTTTTGGACAGGTGGCAGCTCCCATCACGTCTCTTTTGAAGGGGGGTCCGGTGCGTCTGCAGTGGTCTGCCGAGGCGGACAGGGCGTTTGGGAGGCTGAAGGACCTGTTTACCTCGGCCCCGGTGCTGGCGCATCCGGATCCCTCTTTACCATTTCAGGTAGAGGTGGACGCGTCAGAGGCCGGTATAGGAGCCGTGCTTTCGCAACGGTCCGGCGCGCCACCTAAACTCCGCCCCTGTGCTTTTTATTCCAAGAAGCTCAGTCCGGCGGAGCGAAACTATGACGTAGGGGACAGGGAGCTGTTAGCCGTGGTACAGGCCCTAAAGGTGTGGAGGCACTGGCTTGAGGGGGCTCAACACCCTTTCCTCATTTTGACGGACCACCGTAACCTGGAGTACATCCGGGCAGCGAGGAGGCTGAACCCTCGCCAGGCGAGGTGGAATATGTTTTTGACCCGGTTCACATTCAAGATCACGTACATCCCTGGGTCACAGAATGGTAAGGCAGACGCACTGTCTCGGCGGTATGACACGGAGGAGAGGTCCGTGGAGCCCACTCCCATACTGCCGGAGTCGTGTCTGGTGGCACCGGTAGTGTGGGAGGTCGATGCTGAACTCGAGCGAGCGTTACGCACCGACCCTAGTCCACCTCAATGCCCGGAGGGTCGGAAGTACGTTCCGCTCGAGGTTCGGGATCGATTGATCTATTGGGCTCACACGTCACCCTCCTCTGGACACCCTGGTATCGGCCGGACAGTGCACTGTCTTAGTGCCAGTACTGGTGGCCCACGTTGGCGAAAGGATGTGAGGGTTTATGTTTCCTCCTGCTCGGTGTGCGCCCAGTGTAAGGCGCCTAGACATCTGCCTAGGGGTAAGTTACTACCCCTGCCCGTTCCACAACGACCATGGTCTCACCTCTCGGTGGATTTCCTAACTGACCTTCCTCCTTCACAGGGGAATACCACTATACTGGTCGTTGTGGACCGGTTTTCTAAGGCCTGTCGTTTGCTCCCCATGCCGGGCCTTCCTACTGCCCTGCAAACCGCCGAAGCACTATTCACCCATGTGTTCCGGCACTACGGGGTACCTCGAGGATATTGTGTCTGATCGAGGTCCCCAATTTACCTCCAGAGTCTGGAGAGCTTTTATGGAGCGATTGGGGGTCTCGGTGAGCCTCACCTCGGGTTACCACCCGGAGAGTAATGGGCAGGTGGAACGTGTGAACCAGGATGTGGGTAGGTTTCTTAGAACATACTGCCAGGACCGGCCAGAGGAGTGGGCAAGGTACGTTCCCTGGGCCGAAATGGCCCAGAATTCCCTACGCCATTCCTCCACTAACCTAACCCCTTTCCAATGTGTGTTAGGTTACCAGCCGGTTCTGGCACCTTGGCAGCAGAGCCAGATCGAGGCTCTTGCGGTGGATGAGTGGGTGCGGCGCTCGGAGGAGACATGGAACGATGCACATGTCCACCTGCAGCGGGCCCTCTGGCGTCATAAGGCGAGCGCCGATCTCCACCGCAGTGAGGGACCGGTGTACGCACCTGGTGATCGAGTCTGGCTCTCTACCAGAAACCTGCCCCTCCGCCTGCCCTGTCGGAAACTGGGTCGGCGGTTTGTAGGGCCATTTAAAGTCCTGAGAAGGTTGAACGAGGTGTGTTACAAATTACAACTACCTGTTGAATATAAAAGTATTAACCCCTCGTTCCATGTGTCTCTTCTCAGGCCGGTGGTAGCTGGCCCACTCCAAGAAAGTGAGATCAGGGAGACTCCTCCGCCCCCATTGGACATCGAGGGGGCACCGGCGTACTCCGTGCGGTCCATCTTGGATTCGAAACGTCGGATGGGGGGTCTCCAATATCTAGTGGAGTGGGAGGGGTACGGCCCGGAGGAGCGGTGCTGGGTGCCAAGGAGGGACATTTTGGACCCGTCTCTCCTGACGGAATTCCATCGTGGGCACCCGACGCATCCTGCTCCGCGTCCTCCTGGTCGTCCCCGAGGCCGGAGTCGGCGCACGTCCGGGAGCCGCGCGTCAAGGGGGGGGGGGTACTGTCACGGTTTCGGCCGAGGCTGCCTCTCTTCCTTGCTCGGGCAGGCTTCGGCGTTCGTTGTCTCCGGAATACTAGCTGCCACCGTTGCATGTTTCTATGTTCGTTTGCTTTTGTCTAATTGTTGTCACACCTGTTTTCGTTTAGTGAATTAGTGTCCTATAAGTTCTCCTTGGGTTTGTGTTAGTGTTGTGTGTGATTGTTTTCACTGTCGTGCTTTGTTGCTGGATGTTTTGACTATTTGCTCGGTAGAGCTGTCCTCCATAGTTTGGAGAGTTTTGTCGCACCTGTCTGTGCGCCCGTTTTGTTTCGCCTGCGCGCGGAGTTTCGCCTTCGGGCTATTTAGTGCTTGCACGGTTAGAGATTTCACTAAAGTCTTTGGAACTATACTTCTGCGTCCTGCGCCTGATTCCACCACCACACCCACTTACACATCCTTGACACATCACTTTCCCACACACACAGACCACCTCCTATGTTACACCAGCCTGTTACACCTCCCATGTTACACCAGCTTGCACACAACCTGCAATATTCAGTCATATTCATCATCTCTCAGCTTTAATAATTTTATAACATGTCCACGTCATGTTTTAAGTGATTCCATATTCATTTTGAAAGATACAAGTACAGCTCAAATCTATTACAAATGTCGATTATCCTTCTATCAATTGGAACATAAAACATCACAAGTCATTAAGCAGTCATGACATTTGAACGCAGTTGATATGACTTCACACAGACACAATGGGTCAGTTAGATTGTGCTCACTGCGCTCTGTGTTATCGGGGCCACATGGGTTCATTATTCAACCTTTCAGACCATTCTTCTCAGCCAGGATCGCTCTTCTTAAATTAACCTTGGCTAGAGGGGAAGCAGCTGTCAAACTGCTCACACTCATCCAATACATACAGTACCAGTCAAATGTTTGGACACACCTACTCATTCAAGGGTTTTTCTTTATTTTTTTAAACTATTTTCTACATTGTAGAATAATAGTGAAGACATCAAAACTATGGAATAACACATATGGAATCATGTAGTAACCAAAAAAAGTGTTAACCAAGAAGGAGAATGATGGAGTGCTGCATCAGATGACCTGGCCTCCACAATCACCCGACCTCAACCGAATTGAGATGGTTTGGGATGAGTTGGATCACAGAATGAAGGAAAAGCAGCCAACAAGTGCTCAGCATATGTGGGAACTCCTTAAAGACTGTTGGAAAAGCATTCCTCATGAACCAGGTTGAGAGAATGCCAAGAGTGTGCAAAGCTGTCATCAAGGCAAAGGGTGGCTACTTTAAGACTTTTTTGGTTACTACATGATTCCATATGTGTTATTTCATAGTTTTGATGTCTTCACTATTATTCTACAATGAAAATAGTAAAAATAAAGAAAAACCCTGGAATGAATAGGTGTGTCCAACTTTTGACTGGTACTGTACACTCACACACACTCACCTAGTTTGCTGCCTAGATAAATAGTAATTAGTGTGTGGCCAGATTGTTCACACCAGTGTGCCTCAGTAACATGCACTCACGAATGCCAGCATAGACATACTGTACATACATGCAAAACATAATGTAGAAATCTATAGAATTTTATCTGGGCAATAGCTTTTGTGTGTGTGTGTGTGCACGCTTCAGTGTCTTTGTGTGCGGGCATGCTTCCGTGTTTTTCTGCATTTGTGTCTGTGGAGGGCAGTCAGATGAAGGGTCACTGGCTGGTGTGTGGGCTACTAGCGTTAAGATTAAAGACCAGTGGTCACCGTGGGCGACACATTAATTGTCCGGCCTAACAGAGGCGGAGATACTTTTTTTTCTCAACTTCCCTTCTGCCCGCTGTTTTATGTCCCTAGTCTCCTTCCCTCACTCGTTAACAACCTTCACTCCTGCTTCGTTAGAGGCCCCTTAATTTACTTTTATTTGATTATTCATGAGCTTGTTTATCTGATTGGTTCTCTCATGCTGTGACTTGTAGGAATGCATCCTGGGAGAAATAAAGACAACTAAAATTTCAAATGAACTCACATTTACATTTAAGTCATTTAGCACCAGTCTTCTATATCCTTATCACTGGCCCCTCTAGGATTCCTCTAGCCAGAAACTTTTCAAAAATACTATTTCGAAGTCATGGTTGAACTTTGGGTTAATTACTATCATAACTTTTAAGTTGGGAACTTTGTTTAGTTGGAATCTCTAAATTCCCCTGGCTGGAGTGAGATGGGGTTTGAGGGTGGTGGGCGGTGGGCTCTGTAGTGTCTGACTGAGCCCTTCTCAGAGTGGAGCTGCTTGGAGAGAAAGAGAAAGAGAGCTCACGCTGAACAGAGGGAATTCTGGGATGAAGCTCCCAGCCTTCATGAAGGATGACAGCCCAGGGGTTCAGTGTGATTATGAGGTCACACTGGAACAAGAAATAACATGGTGAAATTATTATTTTCTCAGACAGATTAACCTTCAGAACAGATTTGCTAAGAATCGATTTAACTAAGAATCAGAATAGTTTCAGTCAGAGTGGGAGAGGAGAGGGGATATTACACTCCACTGTAGATTAACCGTAGATTAACCAGGGATAGATTAACTAAGAATAACAGAGTTGAATTACCCAGCTTTCAGTTTTACTGTACTTGCAGTAAATCCACTGTGCGTGTGTGTACGTGCACGTGTGTGTTTTCTGCTCATAGAAACGGACACCTGAGTTGCTGTGGATTGAAACATATATTCGTTCTCCCAGAGACATTGGCTTCTGTTTTTTGGCCTCCTAAACTGCTTGTCATCCACAGACATACACTAGCACAGGAGTACAGAACAGCTTGACAGTTAAAACAGTGCGTGTTTTTTAGCACCGGCGGCAGAGACAAAGAAGCTTATGACACGCGGTTTGTTCAAATGCCACCATTCTGCAGGGTTTTCACGGTTCACTTTGACCATTCGTCCACTTAAACACACCTCTAAAACTGTCCTGGAGGCAGAAGGTATTACTACATCAAACGGCTTCACCTGATGTAGGATCTTAATTTGAGCCAGTTTGCCTCAGCAGGAAAATAATCCTGCAGCAACAGGAAATGTGAATTATTATGTGGATTATAATTCATGGATATTTTTTGTAGGGGTTGATACATTTCACATTAGGGCAAATCAAGTCTGACATTTTAAAGTGGAAGTTACAAACTTTAGAAGCCTTTTTAAACATTGAATACACTACAAGTTTGCATTTCCTGCTGTGAATGAAAATGCTCATCAACAAAAGAGTGATCAAATTAAGATCCTACATTTGTAGGCCTTTTACACAACCCTGGCCTCTACAAACACATACAACTACACACTTCTACTGATGGGGCTGCTTGTGATGGTACTATCTGACCCTATTTCAACACATATTGTAGGCCTATGTGGTGGGCCTGAGCAATATGGCTGATGGTTATAATGTTTTGGCTGGTTTCATTGCTTCCCCTTGCCATTCCTTAGAGATATAGCTAGCATTGTCTTTCTCATTGTGTGAGCTGATAATGGAATAATTAGAGATTTGTGCTTACTGTAAGATGTTGCACTAGCCCCTCCCCATGCAGTCAGTACTCCGCATCTTGTGTGAGAGTGTGTATGTGTCTGTAGCTCGTATACACTCAGGGAGCTGGGTGGGCAGTGGGGAGGAAGTCTGTCAGACTGCAGGCCCTGTAGGATGTGACCTTAACCCACGCTAAGCTAACCAATAAGGGCCCACACGTGGGATTCCTCCCCGTGAGCTAAACACTAATGCTAGCACTCTGTTGGGCCAGAACACACAACACCCTCCCTGACTGAGAGACATATATACACACACACACGCACATTTACTGTACGTACACGTATGCTGCGTCGCGAAGAGAGAAATATTATCTGTGAGTGATTTATGAGCTGACCTTATCATGCTGATATATAAATAAACCTGTCTCTTAGAGACACGGCTGTATTCTGGGCTGAAGTTAAGGCCCCGCTAGTTTCAGATGCATGCTCTTTTGCAATTTCGACTTGCACTTCTCTTGCACTCTGTTCTTTTCCAACCCTGGCGCCAGGCTTGGTAATTTACCTTATTATAAGAGCTCGCTTGCGGTGAGGTGGGAGGGGTGGAAATAATTGAGGTGTGTCCTTACAAAATGTTTTAAAGCAGTGCTAATAGCTAAATGTCCCCAAATTAATATAGAGTTCAGAGTTCGTTTTGATATTTCAACCTGCGTGTCCTGATCACGTCTGGTGGGGGTAGACAAACTCAATATGCACACGATGGCGGATGCATGCACGGCGACGTGTGCACACATTGCCTTTTGCTCATGCAACGAGAGATGTGATTTTTGATATCATGCTTCTGACCCGACCCTATTTAGAAATATTGTTGTTGTTTTAACAAACAGATTGGTTTTTAATCAAATTAAATGAAAAATAATCAAACTAATTTTAACGATTCACCGTCCATGAGTTTGTTGAGAACATACATGGCTCGAATGCAATGCAATTTTATCTGCTATTTCTGTAGAAGTGCAAATATGATCTGTAAGATGGTTTCGTTATGTTTATAAAACATTACATTTGGGAGCATTATAACAGTGAGTGGACATTCCCCCTTTCTCTTTATATTGGATCTTTGTCCCGCTCCTGTGAAAAGTTTGGGTGTGCATAAAACCCTCCATAGTCTTAAGTTGCCTTGTCTGTAGGCCTATAATACGCCCACGGGGAGCAATTATTACATTTACATTTACGTCATTTAGCAGACGCTCTTATCCAGAGCGACTTACAAATTGGTGCATTCACCTTATAGCCAGTGGGATAACCACTTTACAATATGTGTTTTGTTGTTTTTTGGGTGGGGTAAGGGGGGGTAGAAGGATTACTTTATCCTATCCCAGGTATGGTGCCTGTAACTATTTAGACAGCCTATTTAAAACAAATTGTTGTTTTGTTTTTGATTATATACTGTCTTTTTAGGCCTTATCAATAGCCTAGTGAATTTAATCTTGCTCATTGACTATGCTTGGCATGCCTATGTCCAAACTGCAATTTACAGTGTGGTGTGTGTGTGTGTGGTGTGTGTGTGTGTGTGTGTGTGTGTGTGTGTGGTGTGTGTGCGCAGGGAGGGGAGTCTAAGATCGTCTGCCCCCTGCTATATAAAGAGCTGCTGGGGTCTTATTGAAGCACTTGTTATTGACAGCTCCTGGGTGTGTAATTCATCATGCTGTCTCCAGGAAAGACCCATGCTATGGGTTGCTATGGAGCCCATGCTCTGACTGCCAGCAGCTCATACCACAGCATTACTGCTCTCAAATGGATCCTTCTGTCCTGCTTACTGATTGATCAAGGAATGACCACACTTATTTGGATAGTACTTTTACTATTAACGATGGACGACAATGGCACAGACAAAATGGCAGCCACAAAGCGTCCCTTTCTGTAATGATTTTTCAGAACATTTGATCATTAAGGTCATAAACCCTTGAGAGATTGGAGAACATGATTCCCCCCCAGTGGGGTTTTAAGAGACTTGAGAGGGTTGTTAGTAACGTTGCTTAGAAACCAAGTGGTATTTTGGCCAGGGCACATTTAGTATTTTATTTTTTTAAGAAAATGTTGTTGGATCCATTTTCATAAAAGCGATAATATTATGCGTATGGCTGGGGGGTTGCTGCTAGTAATGCCCTCCAGGTGTGTTGCCCATATTAATGATGGCCTACCACTGCATCTTTTGCGCTATCACTGTACTGTCATCCAGTAGCATAACTACCTTCTCCTGCTCTCTAATCTGTGGGAGTGAAAACTGGGTGAAAATGGGGTGTTTATGAAGGTGTGGTCGATGCAGCCATAGCTATGTCTCCCTATCGTTGTTTTGTGTATCATATTCCTTTCATTTGCTTCTCTTTGTTTTGTCTTGTTTTTCGGGGGTGGGAGTGTGGGGTTAAAAAAACAAATGCATATTTATGAAATCTAATTTCAGCCCACTAGCCAAGTACGATATGCAGCAGGCCCTAATTATATCTGATAAATATGCATGACTAACGACATTTGAGGATCTCCAATAATCAGAGCATAGACGGAGAGATCTCATTAAAACACAATGGCAACTCATATCTGGATGCAGTCGTGAGGTATATACACCCTGAGAAACCATTATAGTATAGCAGTACATCAAGTATAGCAGTATAGCAGTACATCAACAACAATATCACAGCACCATCATGTTGAGAAACAGATCCACACTTGGATCAACACAGATCAATACACAAATCCTTAGTAATCAAGTATAGGAATTCCAATCGTCCACAACCACATCTCAAAAACCAATGGGCTGAAACCTAAAGGTTTAAATGTATCATGCTTTATCATAATCTCTGTCCTGTTACCCTCATATACAATGTTAAACAGGAAGATGTACTCTGGCTTTTACACCTGCCAAACTGGGATCATAATCATCATCGTCGTGCTTCATTGTTTTAATGGGCCATATTTAAAACAGGACAGTTAGTTGTTGGCTGGCAAACCGATGGCATATCGGTCTGAAGAGGTCTCTCATCTGGGTGTAAATCTCTGTGAGATAGGTTGGCACCTGACTCCTTCCTCTGCCTCTCCACTTGACGGTCTGAGATACCAACCTAGGAACGTCTTTTCAAATCACACATTCTCACTCCATTATGACCCACACAATGTTTTACCTTTTTAAGAACAGATACAGTGTCACTTTTTCCATTTATCTCTTGTAATCAAATGTAACATTTCACACTATTGCTCTTATTGTTAAATATATTTCTTTTTTTTTTACTACATAGATTCAAATAACGTGTGAATCTTAAAATTACAGACATTTAGAGTAAGAGTGACACTTTTTCCAACTTTAATATTGCAGATAGATTGTGGCTTCTATCAATGTAATTGTCTGCATCATTTCCAATCCCCCGTATATATTTAAATATATTTTCCTTTATTATTTTCCCCTAACCCTACCATACCTCCCCTAATTGGATTAAACTAATGGACAACAATACTTAGGCTTCTACTTCCAGCTTATACATACTATATACATTTTACAGGCACAGTATATTTTATATTCTATATACATTTTTTTTGTTGTTGTTGTTTTTAGGCCCAGCCTTCAGCTACCCTCAACCCCTCCCATCTATCTCTGAAGACCATCTGTCTCTGAAGACCTTTCCTAATTGCCATATATTCTTCAACTGTACTGTGATGTTTGACAAAAGTTCTGAACCTTTCTATTCTCATAGTTTCTACAGATTGTAAATTAAAGATAGACATTTTTGCTAAGAGTATTGATCGATTTCACTATGACTTTTCAAATCACCCAGCAGTACTATTTGCAGAGTTCGCTCCAGGTAAATGTTGCAATTCTTTAGCCTTGAACCTGTGACCAAAAACAAACTACATATGGGCAGTTCAAAAACAAGTGATCTAATGATTGTGTCTCTTCACAGCAAAATCTGCAGAGCTGGGATGGTTGTATCCCCCATATACAGTGCATTCGGAAAGTATTCTGACCCCTTGAAATGTTCCACATTTTGTTACATTACAGCCTTATTTTAAAATGTATTAAATATCTTTTTTTCCTCATCAGTCTACACACAATATTAAAAAAAAAAACAGATACCTTATTTACATAAGTATTCAGACCCTTTGCTATGAGACTTGAAATTGAGCTCAGGTATATCCTGTTTCCATTGATCATCCTTGATGTTTCTACAACTTGATTGGAGTCCACCTGTGCTAAATTCAGTTGATTGGACATGATTTGGAAAGGCACACACCTGTCTATTTAAGGTTCCACAGTTGACAGTGCATGTCAGAGCAAAAACCAAGCCATGAGGTTGAAGGAATTGTCCGTAGAGCTCCGAGACAGAATTGTGTCGAGGCACAGATCTGGGGAAGGGTACCAAAACATTTCTGCAGCATTGAAGGTCCCCAAGGACACAGTGGCAGCCATCATTCTTAAATGGAAGAAGTTTGGAACCCCCAACACTCTTCCTAGAGCTGGCCGCCAGCCAAACTGAGCAATCGAGGGAAAAGGGCCTTGGTCAGGGAGGTGACCAAGAACCTGATGCTCACTCTGACAAAGCTCCAGAGTTCCTTTGTGGATATGGGAGAACCTTCCAGAAGGACAACCATCTCTGCAGCACTCCACCAATCAGGTCTTTATGATAGAGTGGTCAGACAGAAGCCACTCATCAGTAAAAGGCACATGACAGCCCACCTAAAAGGACTCTCTGACCATGAGAAACAAGATTCTCTGGTCTGATGAAACCAAGATTGAACTCTTTGGCCTGAATGCCAAGCGTCACGTCTGGAGGAAACCTGGCACCATCCCTACGGTGAATCATGGTGGTGGCAGCATCATGCTGTGGGGATTTTTCCAGTGGCAGGGACTGGGAGACTAGTCAGGATCGAGGGAAATATTTAACAGAGCAAAGTACAAAGAGATCCTTGATGAAAACCTGAGACTGAGACCTGAAAATAGCTGTGCAGCGACGCTCCCCATCCAACCTGACAGAGTTTAAGAGGATCTGCAGAGAAGAATGGGAGAATCTCCCCAAATACAGGTGTGCCAAGCTTGTAGCGTCATACCCAAGAAGACTCGAGGCTGTAATCGCTGCCAAAGGTGCTTCAGCAAAGTACTGAGTAAAGTGTCTGAAAACGTATGTAAATGTAATATTTCAGTTTTGTATTTTTAACACATTTGCAAACATTTCTAAAAAACGGTTTTTGCTTTGTCATTCTGAGGTATTGAGTGTAGATTGATGAGGGGAAAAAACGATTTAATCCATTTTAGAATAAGGCTGTAATGTAACAAAATGTGGAAAAAGTCAAGGGGTCTGAATACTTTCCGAATGCACTGTATATAACATTCTATTGGTTGCAAGAATTTTGTATAATTAAATTGAAAAACTATACATTTTGAATCAGGTGTCGTTTTGTGTATCAGTTCATAAACCATGTGCCATGGAATCGGCACATCGAAAATCTCTTCCCAACTATTTTGTGATCTATATGGTGCAGCTGTCAATTTTTTTGTCCTCAAATTAAACTGGTATACTTTTTTATTTATCACAATTTTCTTTAACCAATTTTGGTCTTTAATGCAGGGCCGACAGATAAGTTCCTTACCTTCTCCCCTTCCACTTGCCTCCTCCATTTTTGCAGGAAATGCTGCAATCAGTTGGTTGTAATTTTGGATAGAGAAGACATTTCCATAAATTTTTGTTTACTGCATGTGTGACAACTCCACCAGTCCTATTTATGATATCAGTTACGAAGATTATACTGTTTAAAAACACATTTTTCAAAAAAGATTAACCATAATATTTGTTCTAATATTTGTCCTGTCTTTTCTGGTAGACTAAAAATAGCCATATTTTGGAAACACTATATCCCTGACTCAGTTGAATGTGTAGGCTACAGCATAGTCAATAACATCCATTCAGTATAGCGGTTTCATTTCCATGACATTTACAGGCACCGTTACAGACAGCCTAGCCTGCCGGTCTTAAAATGGAGTCAGATGCTTGTTAATGAATTGTTGTCTTTACAGGCAGCTAGCTGGCTCCTTTCTCCCTTCCCTCAGCCTGATAGGGCTCACATCCTCATCTTGTCATAGCGTGTTGTAGCATCATATGCCATCACTCTAGCGTGTTAGAGTCTGTCATCAGGTGGAGTGGCTGCAGCAGGGGAGGTGAGGGGTGGTGTAGAGGTGGGGTGGGGGGTATTCAGCAGACAGTGAGCGCCAGCCACATAAAGCCTTTATCACGCCTAAACGACTCCATCTCCCAAAGCCAGGGCCAGATTAGCGCCGCCCATTCGAGTGGAACCATGAGAAGGCAGTAACCAACTAAACAGAGCTGTGAGGGGGAAGCCAACATAGTCGCACCGGAGGGGGAGAGAGATGTCACGCTTTTTTAGTCTTCCTGATTGATGTGTCAATGGGCTTTTATTGCTGTCGTGTTCTCTGAGGAGTCAAGTCGATTACATGGAGAGCGTTTTATACTTCAAAGTACTGTAGCATGGATGGATATACAGTATCCAACATGTGAACATGTGAATGGGAACATGTCTTAGTTGTTCAGTTGGTTGTGGCAGCTCAAGTACACAATGTACACGATATAATGCAAATATTACGCTCTTACGTGCATATGTAACTGATGTAGGCCTACTGTGTTTACATAATTGTTAATGACTCTCATTGTTGTGTGTCTCTCTCTCTCTCTCTCTCTCTCTCTTTCTCTCACTCTCTCTCTCTCTCTCTCTCTCTCTCTCTCTCTCTCCAAACACAGACCCACTAACGAACCATGACCTCTGACCCTTGTGTGTACCCAGGTGTGGCGTGTTGGCTGTGGGAGCTGTCAGTCTGCAGCTGGCCTATCAAGAGCTCTCAGGAGGATGGACCAGAGCAGACAGTCTAGCTGAGGATGCCCCCCGTCCCTCCCCCGCTCTACACCTGCTCTCTCACTTCTCACACTATGCTAGGAAAACACACTCTGCATCTCTGCTTTTGACCAACCCCCCCACCCCTCCCAATACCTAATTTCTCCCAGTATCTCCAATAACCTACTAATTTTAGGCTAGAAGACCAGAGGACATGTCCTTCCCAGAGAGTGGTCTCAGACGGCAGGGTTCTGGTGGGACGCGGCGCTCCAGCCCCCGCAGGATGTCTGACCCGTGTCTGGTGTGTCTCCTGGGCCTGGCCCTCTGCCTGACCCTGTCCTCCTGCCAGCGGGCCGATCTCAGTGGGAAACACCCTATGGTCACCACGGGCTACGGCAAGCTGCGCGGCGTCAGGAAGGAGCTCAACAACGAGATCCTGGGGCCCGTGGAGCAGTACCTGGGCGTGCCCTATGCCACCCCGCCTATCGGCGAGCGCCGCTTCCAGCCCCCTGAGGCACCAGGTTCCTGGCAGGAGATCCGCAATGCCACCCAGTTTGCCCCAGTGTGCCCGCAGAACGTACACGGGGTGCTGCCTGAGATCATGCTGCCGGTGTGGTTCACTGACAACCTGGATGCTGCAGCAGGCTACGTTCAGAACCAGAGTGAGGACTGTCTGTACCTCAATGTCTACGTGCCCACTGAGGATGGTGAGTCCAGCCCTGTTCCATCTATCAGGCCAGAGTACACTTCCAGTCAGGCAGGCTCAGACTGTCTAGTGGTGCTACTGCTGGAGATTAAGAGATCTCCTCAGTTTTGGTCAGATAAATCAGGATGTGAATTACCTAACTGGTGTGGAGTAGGTTAGGTTCATTTAAGGTTAGGAGTAAGCTACCACATTTACACCTCTGAGGTATCACTACTAACCTTGTGTTTCGTCTCCGGTTGAGAAGCAGGTCCTTCTTGGCTATCTTACTACAGAGGAAGTCGGTAGTGTGAAAAGGACCAGGATTCATTAAATGTGTCATCCTCCTAAGCCATTTTATGTCACAGTGCAACTGGTATTTGGTCCCAACAAGAGGGAATGCTATTGAAGCGTCTTTATAGAGTGGTATCATTTGGATCATTCAGTCAGAAGATTGTAATCAGAGACACAAGGGCTCTTAAGCTGAGCCAATAGACACCCATGAGATTACCAAAGAATAGCAGCACTTACACTCATGTCAGCCTCGATTACTGTTTAGTCTGTTCAGGCAGGGTTGCCTTGATATACATACTGTACTCTAGTCCTGTCAGAGCAAGGAATTTTTTTGCCCAATAACTTCTGCTCAGTAGCTTCAGTGTATAGTAGAGCTGGGAATTGCCAGGGACCTCACAATACAATATTTTATTTATTTTAACAGGGAGTCATGCTGAGACCAAGGTTTCTTTCACAAATGAGCTCTTTATACTCATCAATAAACATCAAACAATGTGTCAATTGGCACCTACAGTGCCTTGCAAAAGTATTCATCCCCCTTGGCGTTTTTCCTATATTGTTGCATTACAACCTGTAATTTAAATGGATTTTGGGGGGGATTTCATGTAATGGACATACACAAAATAGTCCAAATTGGTGAAGTGAAATGAAAAAAATTACTTGTTTCAAAACATTCTAAAAAATAAATAACGGAAAAGTGGTGCGTGCATATGTATTCACCCCCTTTGCTCTGAAGCCCCTAAATAAGATTTGGTGCAACCAATTCCCTTCAGAAATCACATAATTAGTTAAATAAAGTCCACCTGTGTGCAATCTAAGTGTCACATGATCTGTCACATGATCTCAGTATTTATATACCTGTTCTGAAAGGCCCCAGAGTCTGCAACACCACTAAGCAAGGGGCACCACCAAGCAAGCGGCACCATGAAGACCAAGGAGCTCAACAAAACAGGTCAGGGACAAAGTTGTGGAGAAGTACAGATCAGGGTTGGGTTATAAAAAAATATCCGAAACTTTGAACATCCGACGGAGCACCGTTCAATCCATTATATAAAAATGGAAAGAATATGGCACCACAACAAACCTGCGAAGAGAGGGCCGCCCACCAAAGCTCACGGATGAGGCAAGGAGGGCATTAATCAGAGAGCCAACAAAGAGACCAAAGATAACCCTGAAGGAGCTGCAAAGCTCCACAGCGGAGATTGGAGTATCTGTCCATAGGACCACTTTAAGCCGTACACTCCACAGAGCTGGGCTTTATGGAAGAGTGGCCAGAAAAAAAGCCATTGCTTAAAGAAAAAAATAAGCAAACACGTTTAGTGTTCGCCAAAAGGCATGTGGGAGACTCCCCAAACATATGGAAGAAGGTACTCTTGTCAGATGAGACTAAAATTTAGCTTTTTGGCCATCAAGGAAAACGCAATGTCTGGTGCAAACACAACACCTCTCATCACCCTGAGAACACCATCCCCACAGTGAAGCATGGTGGTGGCAGCATCATGCTGTGGGGATGTTTTTCATCGGCAGGGACTGGGAAACTGGTCAGAATTGAAGGAATGATGGATGCGCGAAATACAGGGAAATTCTTGAGGGAGAGCTGTTTCAGTCTTCCAGAGATTTGAGACTGGGACGGAGGTTCACCTTCTAGCAGGACAATGACCCTAAGCATACTGCTAAAGCAATACTTAAGTGGTTTAAGGGGAAACATTTAAATGTCTTGGAATGGCCTAGTCAAAGCCCAGACCTCAATCCAATTGAGAATCTGTGGTATGACTTAAATATTGCTGTACACCAGCGGAACCCATCCAACCTTTTGCCTTGAAGAATGGGAAACAATCCCAGTGGCTAGATGTGCCAAGCTTATAAAGACATACCCCAAGAGACTTGCAGACGGAATTGCTGCAAACGGTGGCTCTACAAAGTATTGACTTTGGGGGTGGTGAATAGTTATGCACGCTCAAGTTTTCAATTCTTTTGTCTTATTTCTTGTTTGTTTCACACAAAAAAATATTTTGCATCTTCAAAGTGGTAGGCATGTTGTGTAAATCAAATGATACAAACCCCCAAAATATCCATTTTAATTCCAGGTTGTAAGGCAACATAATAGGAAAAATGCCAAGGGGGATGAATTCTTTCGCAAGCCACTGTAAGTATCGTGAAAACACTATATATTGCGATTCTCACAATTCTATATGTATTGCGATTTGATGTTCCAAACATATTGCTCACTATATGTCTGCTGCAGAGGGACGAGCGAGAGCCATGAGAAAATGTGTTTTGATCAGTCATGGAAATAAAAGTGCTGAAAAAATGTTGGCTCACTATTTAAAAATAAGATGGATAACAAGCTATAGGATTAAAAATACTGGGGTTTCGGCTCAGGTACAGCCGACTAGCGCTAGCTAACGCTACCTAGCAACAAAAAACAACAACCTTGGAGTCAAAAGTATCGATATAACATCTTCCAAAATAATATGTAACTATCAACCCCCCCATCACTTTATTGAAGTATACGCTCAGTGAAAAGGCCAGTGTTTGTTAGCTATGCTACTCCCTCACTGTGTGTCCACATTTGTAGAGTAAGTATATTTACGCATGGCTTGAGGATTGTTGAGACATTTCAATGGCAGAATGGACTAAAGAACATAGACAACATTGGCAAGGGACAACAGTAAATCTAGACCAAAGTATGTATATACAAGATCATCTTTATTGTCTGACTCAACTGGGCTGTGTTTGTTTCTCCTCTGTGTGCTCGGAAAACAATATTTTGCACATACTTGTGAGACTTACATTTTACATTTTAGTCATTTAGCAGACGCTCTTATCCAGAGCGACTTACAGTTAGTGAATGCATACATGTTTAAAATTTTAAAAAAAAATCATACTGGCCCCCCGTGGGAAACGAACCCACATCCCTTCCGGCCAAACCCTCCCCTAGCTTGGACGAAGCTGGACCTATTGTGCGCCACCCATGGGTCTCCCGGTCGTGGCCGGCTGTGACAGAGCCTGGATTTGAACCAGGATCTCTAGTGGCACAGCTAGCACTGCAGTGCCTTAGACCACTGCGCCACTCGGGAGTCACTTGACTTCTAGGTTTAGCATTTACATACAGTGGGGAGAACAAGTATTTGATACACTGCCAATTTAGCAGGTTTTCCTACTTACAAAGTATGTAGAGGTCTGTAATTTTGATCATAGGTACAAAAATCCAGAAAATCACATTGTATGATTTTTAAGTAATTAATTTGCATTTTATTGCATGACATAAGTATTTGATACATCAGAAAAGCAGAACTTAATATTTGGTACAGAAACCTTTGTTTGCAATTACAGAGATCATACGTTTCCTGTAGGTCTTGACCAGGTTTGCACACACTGCAGCAGGGATTTTGGCCCACTCCTCCATACAGACCTTCTCCAGATCCTTCAGGTTTCGGGGCTGTCGCTGGGCAATACGGACTTTCGGCTCCCTCCAAAGATTTTCTATTGGGTTCAGGTCTGGAGACTGGCTAGGCCATTCCAGGACCTTGAGATGCTTCTTACGGAGCCACTCCTTAGTTGCCCTGGCTGTGTGTTTCGGGTCGTTGTCATGCTGGAAGACCCAGCCACGCTCATCTTCAATGCTCTTACTGAGGGAAGGAGGTTGTTGGCCAAGATCTCGTGATACATGGCCCCATCCATCCTCCCCTCAATACGGTGCAGTCGTCCTGTCCCCTTTGCAGAAAAGCATCCCCAACGAATGATGTTTCCACCTCCATGCTTCACGGTTGGGATGGTGTTCTTGGGGTTGTACTCATCCTTCTTCTTCCTCCAAACACGGTGAGTGGAGTTTAGACCAAAAAGCTCAATTTTTGTCTCATCAGACCACATGCGTGCGCTGCAGGATTTTAATCCATGACGGCGTAGTGTGTTACTAATGGTTTTCTTTGAGACTGTGGTCCCAGCTCTCTTCAGGTCATTGACCAGGTCCTGCCGTGTAGTTCTGGGCTGATCCCTCACCTTCCTCATGATCAATGATGCGCCACGAGGTGAGATCTTGCATGGAGCCCCAGACCGAGGGTGATTTGACCGTCATCTTGAACTTCTTCCATTTTCTAATAATTGCGCCAACAGTTGTTGCCTTCTCACCAAGAAGTCCTGTAGCCCATCCCAGCCTTGTGCAGGTCTACAATTTTATCCCTGATGTCCTTACACAGCTCTCTGGTCTTGGCCATTGTGGAGAGGTTGGAGTCTGTTTGATTGAGTGTGTGGACAGGTGTCTTTTATACAGGTAACGAGTTCAAACAGGTGCAGTTAATACAGGCAATGAGTGGAGAACAGGAGGGCTTCTTAAAGAAAAACTAACAGGTCTGTGAGAGCCGGAATTCTTACTGGTTGGTAGGTGATCAAATACTTATGTCATGCAATAAAATGCAAATTAATTACTTAAAAATCATACAATGTGATTTTCTGGATTCCGTCTCTCACAGTTGAAGTGTACCTATGATACAAATTACAGACCTCTATATGCTTTGTAAGTAGGAAAACCTGCAAAATCGGCAGTGTATCAAATACTTGTTCTCCCCACTGTATATGGGATTTGTATCTCCATTTTAGGCTGCCCAGTGTGCTTGCTTGTATCAAGGGCATTCAGTTCTGAGAATTTCAGCTGTGCTCCTGAAATCCTTTGTGTACTGAATCTCACTGGAGTTGAGCATTAGCTATAATCTGATTTCAGGCAGTGTTGCCAGTCTGTTTGGGGTTAACCCATTTAATAAGCCATTTATAGCACTCATAGAATTATTTTCAAGACCAGCACACCAATACACGCACACACACACACACACACACACACACACACACACACACACACACACACACACACCCCAAAGGTAAATTCCTTTCCTGAAGATAATAATGTAGGTATGACATGTTAACATGCTTAGCTCAGGAACCAGTAAGCACAGTGAACCTAGGATCAGGTTGAGAGACTTTCCATATGCTACAGATGATAGCTCATCTCCTTGGTTGTCATGGAAGTCACCCTCTATACATTAGATTGTCATAATTGGTTGACCCAAAGCATCACTGCAATAGAGTGCCTGAGAATCCTAGCCTCATTGGTTCCCACTATTTGCCCCGAACCAATCATTTCAATAAGAAGTGCTTGCCTCAGCAGATCAGCCTTTCCATCTGCATCAAGCAGCGTTCTGACAGGGGTCTGCTGATCTCTGATTACATTCTATGTGACAAGAAATCTAATGCTGAAGATTGACGTAATAACTTAAAGGCACAATCTGTAAGATTTCCTGCTGTTTCATGTTTTTTTTTCTTCAGTTAATGATATACAACTGCCTTACCGTAGCATAACCCAAACCAGAGTTGGGGCTGCTGTTGGGTTGAAGTGCAGACTCTGGATTGTGGCTTTAAGGAGAGGGATAAAGAGTATTTTGCTATTTTCTTTTGACAAGTTCTGCCCCCTTGTAGTTGATACATTTTCCAAGCATTGATTTATTTTCACTCAATAAAAGCATAATGGAACATAGCAGTGTAACTTCAATATTCTCTTGAATCAGGACCAATTAAACACATTTGGAGAGGGAAGGATTTATTTTCAAAGATTGTTCTGTATTAAGTAAAGCTAATTAGCAGGTAGTTTTTAACATAAGCCACATTCACAGACAAACACATACACACACAGTACTGACTCACAAAACTCACTCCACACAGAATTGCAGTAGATACTTTATGTTGATCCCCCTGGACTATGGATATGAAGTACTGTTACGCTGACCTCACAATAGAGACCCTTTTTATAGACCTAAATAAATTTCACGCCTATATAGTGTTACTGTAGTAACATATTGGGCTTTGCTTCACCCCATTACATATCAAAACCCAGCTCACACAGTGTAGTAGAAGTAATGGGCTTAGGCTGCAGTCTACATTTAGCCGACATGCATATTTCCCTGTTTATGGGGCGTTGTAACAGAGAGTTAGAGCGTCGCAATCCCATTGTAATGTCTACTCAGCAGTACACTGAGAAGGATGTGACATCACAATCCACCAGGCCACGTCTTGGCAGCATTCCAAATTAATTTCAGTTTTAATCCGATCAATATGTTCTACAGCCAAACAAAAAGATGGTATGTGCTCAAGAGTAATTTGATGCTCCTGAGTATAATATACATGTAGACTGGGAGGATGATGATGATTTGGGGGGGGGGACTGATATGAATAATAAATAAATATATAGTTATTCTGCAGTGTCAATTGCTATCGTGTGAATTGCCTTTGATGCAAGAACAAACCTCAAACAAATTATTATATTTTTGCTATCGCAGCAGCCCTTGATCTGGTGAAAATTGGATCAGGATTGTTCTTCGGGGGAAATGAGACATCGTTGTATACTGTAGCAGCCACACCTCTGCTAGCTCCTGCCTAGTGCAATACAACTCCATAGCTAATTAGCCCAGAAACTGAAGGTTTATCTAATTCCATGTACACAAAAGGGGGATGCCTTTGAAAGTGAGCTTTGGGCTGGGATGGGAAACGAGGGGAGACCAGAAACACTGCTGGATTCTAGCTCGGCCTGGCCAACAGACATTTTTCATCCTGTTGGTTAATTGTGTTTAATCATTTTGTTAAGTGAGGCAGCACCTTGAATCCTAAATAGTGTATAAATAGGGTAGTGTGAGTTATGTTGTAAATCTTTTCTAAATACTGTCTAAGTACTGGAGAGAAGGGGAGATTACTGTAATTGGAAGGCCTGCTATTGGCTTGTGCCAAGGCGTCAGTGTAATGCGGTAGGCGAAGTCAGGCGCAGGACACAGAGCTAATCAAAAGGCGTACTTTACTCGAAGGTAAAAGAATGAACAACAACCTCCACGCAGGGAGGGAACAAACCCGCACACTAACGACAACCGAAACATGAACAAACACCCACAACACACAGTGTGAGACAGAGGGTTAAATAGGGAAGACATAACTACATAATGGGAAACAGGTGTGACCAATAAAGACAAAACAAGTCGAACATAGATACATGGATCGGTAGCAGCTAGTACTCCGGTGACGACGAACGCCGAAGCCTGCCCGAGCAAGGAGGAGGGGCAGCCTCGGCTGAATCCGTGACAGCTTGTGATTGGCTGAAATCATACTCTATGTCAAGTTGCTGTGGGGTATCCTGCTTGGGAGGAAAACTGAGTGTGTGTGATTTGGTTATTCCCAATGGTACAGGAGTGCCTGTCTGTGAGTGAGAGTGTGTTTTTTACATGAGGCATGTATTCTTGTCATATTCTGTCACATATTGTTAGGGGTCACTGCTCACACAGGCCTGTCGCTGTCCCCATCTATTACTTTCTGGGTGCTTATTTGTGTGTGAAAGAATTGAGTGTTCTTGAAAGTCAAAATAAAAAATGTCCATGTCCATACAGCAGATATAGTTCATACAGTATTGACAGTTCCATATCCCTCATACCCAAGGCCTGTTTAGTGCACCACTCTATGTATCCCCCTTATTGACTGTCCCTCTAATGTACCCCCACCTTCTACCTGAATCTGAGGCCTCAGAATGACCCAACACTCACAGAGCACAGAGGAAACCACACATCACACCTTTTGCCCAATTTTAAGTGTAAAACCATGGAAGGAGGAAATACTCAGACAGAACCCCTTCTGCTCTCTGAGCTCCTCCCTCCCCCCCTCTCCCTTTGCATCCCCCCTCCCTCCTCCTCTCTATGCGGGCTGTGGTAGAGGAGGTCACAGACTCTGAATGCAAATCAGTTCCATGTCCTTCCCCACCAGGCCGCTATGTAGCCTGCTGCGCCCTCAACTCCAATGAAATTCAAATGGCTTTTTAGAATAATGAAAACAAAGCTGACCTAATGTCAGAGAAAAACACACACAGGGTCTCTGTTTAGTCCAGCTGTGCCTGGGTCCCTCACGTAGAGAATCCCCTGTACTGTATGAGCCGTCAGCCTGCTCGGCGAGAGCACTGTGTCATTGCATTCCTATTTCCTCCAGACGCTCCTTAGCCAAGCGCCTCAGATCCCTCATTTTTATCGCTAGCGGATTGGCCATTTACCGTCCAGGCTCTTTATTAAAAAACATATTTCAGCATGCGGGGCCACAGAGCCAGGGATGGACGGAGGGAGGGGGGGTATGGGAATGGAACTGTGAGCACTGTGAGCCACTGGAGAAGCACGGTGGGGGCATGATGCTGTGTCTGACACCTCGTCAAACACACAGCACAGTATGGTCATGACACACTGGGGAAATGGAGAAGGACTGCAGACAGCAGCTTGTGTTCAGGCCGCTCCACGCTCACTCAACCGTGGAGAAAGTGTTGACTGGGAGGAGGGGGACAGGACAGGAGCTGAGCTAAATGATAATCTGTGGACCATTTGGATTTCACTGAACGCCAGCCCATTACATCATGTGTCAGTCAGTCTGCTGCCCAGCTCCTAATTGGAGCACATGTAAGGGCTGAAATAGATACTCTGTACCACTGTTGAACCAGCTACATTTCAACTGCACATATATTCAAATCAAACTTGTTAAAATTCTTTAGACGTGTTTTTTTTCAGTGTGGTTGATTTATTATGCGTAAGATGTGTTTTTTTTCTCACTCTTTTGGTTGCATCGCTGATCCTGGCTGTATCTGTTTAGTGCCAATTTCACTTTATAAATGGTGCTAGAATCAGGGGGCAAACTGCAGAAGAATTCTGAGGTAAAATCATCAGAATGAAAATTGCTTTTTGGACCTTATTGACCTGACTGGAAAACGAAGGAAAAGCTTTCAAATCTATCAACACTGTTCTTGCTCAATAGTATGCAGACAAAAGAGATGCCTACCATTCTTTACCAGACTTGTTGTGCCTCCACACAACATCCTTTTCCTGGAAATGTATCAATGAGTTCATTGGAGTGAGAGTGATGGCTGAGAGATGAGGAAAGTGACAATGAGGTTGTCCATTAAAACGAGGCATGTATGTACATACTGCAGTATGGTATATGTGTGTTCATGATGTATGTCCAGTGGAGTATTTGAGAGTGTTTCAAGGATGGATGTGTGTATAATGTTGTTCTTGGCCATTCTCAGACATCTTGTTCATCGCCAAGCCATTGAAGCAGGTGTATAGGTACTGTAACTATCGCCTACTCTAAGTGGATGGTTGTCAGCATGGAGCTGAGAACTCTGTAGAACTGGCTCTGTCAATTAGCTGTGAGAGAAGGCCCCAGCTACAGCCCCATGCAGCACCACTGCACATGCTGACACCGTCACTGAACACAGACAAACCTGTTTATTTCTCTCCCCACAGAGCCATGTCTCTGTAAGTAAACAACACTGTCATACCTGCTTGTCGCATCCCAAAATGCACTGCAGAAAACATCCCAAAGTGTGCTCCAGCACAACACATTTTCTCCTCCAACACAAAAACCTCCTTTGACAGCACAGCAGATCTCAAGAAAACACATCCAACAATCATCTCGGATTGAGCCTCCTCTCCCATCACAGAGACAGACTTGGGCTTCCAGGAAGCATTACGCCCATGCAAAGTCTTTAACTGAAGTCTGCCACTCCATTTCAAAGGGAGACAGGTTCCATTTCAGCGGAGCTGCTCTCTGTGTGCAGCTTAAGCTCTTTAATGGGTATTAGAGCAGGTATGAAATCACTGTGTTCTCCATTAAGCGGTTAGGTGTGGTATTAAAGTGCTGCTGGGAAAGTGCTGACTGGGGCTAATCTTCCTTCCCCTCCATTACCAGGCTGTCTACCTATCGTCCCTCACCCCCCTCACCCCCACCCCCTTACTGGAACTGCCCTTACACCGGGGGGACTGTGGGCGGAAGGGAATCAGGTCAACATTGATCGCTCCCCCTATAAAAAAGCACTTTCATATGAGGATTGAGGAAGCACTCTAGTAATGATGAGAGAGAGCAGAGAGAGAGAGCAGTGCTGGTGGTCTGGGTGTGTCCCTGTTCCAGCAGCCATTCATACACCAGTGCAGAGTGTTGGCGATGCGTTTTGCCAATAGATCTGTCTCCGTATTTGCGGCGCAGTGTGACAGAGGCTGTTAGCACCTTATGAGGGAGCCATCAGAAGACAAGCGGAGAGATGTAGTTAGCACACTGTGAGTCTGATAAAGCTGCTAGCTCACCAACAGAGAGTACACTATGTCTGATAGATGAGAGTGTATCGCCAACACACAGGGAGAGAGGACCCACTGGGCACAGATGTCTATTCAACGTCTATTCCACGTTGGTGCAACATACAGAGGCTTGCGAAAGTATTCACCCCCCTTGGCATTTTTCCTATTTTGTTGCCTTACAACCTGGAATTAAAATGGATTTTGGGGGGGTTTGTATCATTTGATTTACATAACATGCCTACCACTTTGAAGATGCAAAATATGTTTAATTGTGAAACAAACAAGAGCGTGCATAACTTGAGCGTGCATAACTATTCACCCCCCCCAAAGTCAATACTTTGTAGAGCCACCTTTTGCAGCAATTACAGCTGCAAGTCTCTTGGGGTATGTCTCTATAAGCTTGGCACATCTAGCCACTGGGATTTTTGCCCATTCTTCAAGGCAAAACTGCTCCAGCTCCTTCAAGTTGGATGGGTTCCGCTGGTGTACAGCAATCTTTAAATCATACCACAGATTCTCAATTGGATTGAGGACTGGGCTTCGACTAGGCCATTCCAAGACATGGAAATGTTTCCCCTTAAACCACTCGAGTGTTGCTTTAGCAGTATGCTTAGGGTCATTGTCCTGCTGGAAGGTGAACCTCCGTCCCAGTCTCAAATCTCTGGAAGACTGAAACAGGTTTTCCTGGGATGTTCAAAGTTTCAGATATTTTTTTATAATCCAACCCTGATCTGTACTTCTCCACAACTTTGTCCCTGACCTGTTTGGAGAGCTCCTTGGTCTTCATGGTGCCGCTTGCTTGGTGGTGCCGCTTGCTTGGTGGTGTTGCAGACTCTGGTGCCTTTCAGAACAGGTGTGTATATATACTGAGATCATGTGACAGATCATGTGACACTTAGATTGCACACAGGTGGACTTTATTTAACTAATTACGTGACTTTTGAAGGTAATTGGTTGCACCAGATCTTATTTAGTGGCTTCATAGCAAAGGGGGTGAATATATATGCATGCACCACTTTTCCGTTATTTCTTTTTTATAATTCTTTGAAACAAGTTCTTTTTTTCATTTCACTTCACCAATTTGGACTATTTTGTGTATGTCCATTACATGAAATCCAAATAAAAATCAATTTAAATTACAGGTTGTAATGCAACAAAATAGGAAAAACGCCAAGGGGGATGAATAGTTTTGCAAGGCACTGTAAATTCATTGAAATGATTCAACCATTGTGTGCTTAGTAGGGAGTGTCGTAAACACCATAAAGCGAGAGTATGTTGTTAGCATAGCTAGCATGCCAGGTGGCACAATGTTATTAGCACACCGTGTGTGTGTGGACAGGATAGCGTGCTAAATGCTAACAGTGATTGAGAGGGACTATAAAAGCTGTGTAGTGATTGGGCCGGTCATGTAGCGCTCCACTGACAGATGGAGACAATAAAGAAATGAACAGGATCCATATCGGCCAGGCTTACAGAGAGCGGCGCGCCAGTGGGGCGGCGGGTCACTCTGATAATGCTTGTTATTGTCTGTCCCCTATGGAGCGTTTAACCGCCGTTACCATTAAACCTTAATGTGGGCCACCTCTGTGACCTTGGCGTAGGGGGGCCCTGTCAGAAGCCCTCACATGGCTGTGTAAATACTGAACCACCACCCCCTGGCCGGCTTCTTGTAGAGTTACACTGGAGGAGGGAGAGACACTCATCATGTGCATTGACGTCTCTTGAGTGTGCGTGTGTCCCTAGTCATCCCCTCCAGTGTAGTTGGCAGACCAGTCCCCATGGATGTGGTGTAGAGGGCCCAGATACCCTGTAGCCTGAGGGCTGCAGCACTGGGCTAAGTGGGCACATGCTCCGTGATGGGTTGGCATTCCCCTGCCTGCCTTCTGACGGCAAAGAATGATGGCTTGATTCTCTTCATTGATTTTCCTCTACAAAGCACTAACGTGTAGGGAATAAATGGGAAGAGAAGAGGAAGAGAAAAACAATGAGAAATGTTATCTGGGGTCGTTGACCAGGCAGCTCTTGACTAGGTACTGTGCAGTGAAACAGGCTAGTTGTCTCCACAGGACAAGCTGTATCTGTAATGCTCTCTTACTTTTGGCTTACAGTTGTTTCGGAGTCTTTTGAAAATGAGAGCGGGGATGCTCTTCCTGCTCTGTTGTTTTTCTCCTCTTGTTTTCTTGTTCACTTTTTAGTTTTTCATTTTTCAGCAAAGTGCAATCTTTTTGAAGTTTCTCTTTTCTCTTTTCCCTCCCCTTTTTTCTTAACCTTAGGTCCGCTCACAAAAAAACACGATGAGTCTACAATGAACAAACCCAGGGATGAAGGTATTTTTGTTGCATGTTTTACCCTTTTGTTGTATTTTTCAAAGTTTTGGAGGGGATAGTTAAATTGAATAACCAACTGATATTATTTGTTTGTGTCTATAAGTTTAATCACAATTATTATTTTTATCTCGGTAATTGTAATCGTCTCAATATAATAAGTCTAATAATATACACATACGTAATATATAATTTTATACCATGTAGACTGATATAGACAGACATATTCCACTCATCTATCATCTCTCTCACCTTTTTTTTCTTCACTATCTCTCTTTCTTTTGCTCTTTCTCTTGATCTCTTTCTCTCTCTGTCTCTCTCACACACACATGCACACGCACCTCAATTGTTCCACATACTCCTTTTTCGGTATATGGTTAATCAACCAATAAACATGATTTTATTTGCATAGAACTTTTTACAAACTCATGATGTTTTGACTGTATTCTGACTTGCACCAGCCAAAAGGGGAATATTTAACCTTGTGTAATGTTCTTTACCATCATCATTTGGATTGGGTCATTTGATTGATCCACTTGACCGTTTTTTTATTTCGTTTATTTTTACAGTAAAAGCATTATAGTTTGGGTGGGTGGGGGAGGGGGGCTTGTAGGCTGGCATTTGAAAGGATTCCAAGCAGTGGAGCTTGCTACCTGACATGCATTACACATGCAAATAACCAGGTAACCAGTTGTTAAAACTAGCCAGGGAAAGATGCATTGACATTATGTAATCAAGAGGTTTGAAAGATCAGACTGTTACCATAGTGTTTGTTTGTGTGTGTGCATCTGCTCAGGTGTTTGTGCCTGATTGTATGTGATGGGGGCGTGCATGTGTTAGTGTGTATGCTGTTTACATGTTAAGTTCTCCCATTCTGCTGTCTCTAATTGCTATGGTTAAAAGGAGACCGGTGTAGCTAATCCATTTGTGCGGGAGAGAGAGAGAATTTTAGGGGCTGTTTTGAAGCAGGCAGGACAGTGAGAACATTGTTGGTCCTGTAGGCCTGGGATTTAGGCTGAGTGAGACTGCTCCCCTCCTCTCCCCATCTGGACACAGGCTCATACACAACTGTCACTGCAAGGTTAGAGAGGAAAAGGATACACACATGTTCTCACACTCAGATGGACAAATGGACTCTTATCATGCACTAACACATGCACTCTTATCATTTTTACATTTGAGTCATTTAGTGAGTGCATACATTTTCATACTGGCCCCCCGTGGGAAACGAACCCACAACCATGGCATTGCAAGCGCCATGCTCTACCAACTGAGCTACAGGGGAACATTTATGCACTAACACATGCGTGAAGACACACACGTATGACCTACAAGCACTCTCACATACACATGTACACAGACACTCAATCACCCTCCATCACTTTCTTTCACACACACATCCTACACCAACACACACTCCATCACATAAAAAAAGGGGCAGTAAAACCCACACAAACATAGGCAAGGGGGAAGTCTTGACAAACCCCTGGTCCCCCTGCTCCTAAGGATGAACCAGTCTGACTGGGTCCGTTCAGACCCCAGCTGCCATGTTGGCTCCGGTGCTGAAGCTTAGAAACACCTCCATGAGAAAGAATGAGTTATATTTACTGTACAGAGTGATGTGCAGCTATATACAGTTGAAGTCGAAAATTTACATACACCTTAGCCAAATATATTTAAACACAGTTGTTCACAATTCCTGACATTTAATCCTAGTAAAAATGCCCTGTTTTAGGTCAGTTAGGATCACCACTTTATTTTAAGAATGTGAAATGTCAGAATAATAGTAGAGAGAATTATTTATTTCAGCATTTATTTATTTCATCACGTTCCCAGTGGGTCAGAAGTTTACATACACTCAATTAGTATTTGGTAGCATTGCATTTCAGTTGTTTAACTTCGGTCAAACGTTTTGGGTAGCCTTCCACAAGCTTCCCACAATAAGTTGGGTGAATTTTGGCCCATTCCTCTTCACAGAGTTGGTGTAACTGAGTCAGGTTTGTAGGCCTCCTTGCTCGGACACGCTTTTTCAGTTCTGCCTACACATTTTCTATAGGATTGAGGTCAGGGCTTTGTGATGGCCACTCCAATACCTTGACTTTGTTGTCCTTAAGCCATTTTGCCACAACTTTGGAAGTATGCTTGGGGTCATTGTCCATTTGGAAGACCCATTTGCGACCAAGCTTTAACTTCCTGACTGATGTCTTGAGATGTTGCTTTAATATATCCACATAATTTCCCTACCTCATGATGCCATCTATTTTGTGAAGTGCACCAGTCCCTCCTGCAGCAAAGCACCCCCACAGCATGATGCTGCCACCTCCGTGCTTCACGGTTGGGATGGTGTTCTTCGGCTTGCAAGCGTCCACCTTTTTCCTCCAAACATAACGATGGTCATTATGGTCAAACAGTTCTATTTTTGTTTCATCAGACCAGAGGACATTTCTCCAAAAAGTACGATCTTTGTCCCCATGTGCAGTTGTAAACCGTAGTCTGGCTTTTTTATGGCGGTTTTGGAGCAGTGGCTTCTTCCTTGCTGAGTGGCCTTTCAGGTTATGTCGATATAGGACTCGTTTTACTGTCGATATAGATACTTTTGTACCTGTTTTCTCCAGCATCTTCACAAGGTCCTTTGCTGTTGTTCTGGGATTGATTTGCACTTTTCGCACCAAATTACGTTCATCTCTAGGAGACAGAACGCGTCTCCTTCCTGAGCGGTATGACGGCTGCGTGGTCCCATGGTGTTTATACTTGCATATTATTGTTTGTACAGATGAACGTGGTACCTTCAGGCATTTGAAAATTGCTCCCAAGGATGAACCAGACTTGTGGAGGTCTACAATTTTTTTTCTGAGGTCTTGGCTGATTTCTTTTGCTTTTTCCCATGATGTCAAGCAAAGAGGCACTGAGTTTGAAGGTAGGCCTTGAAATACATCCACAGGTACACCTCCAATTGAATCAAATGATGTCAATTAGCCTATCAGAACCTTCTATAGCCATGACATCATTTGTTGGAAAAATTTATTGAGTCATGCACAAAGTAGATGGCAAGTCGGATAGGACAAAACTATAGTTTGTTAACAAGAAATGTGTGTAGTGGTTGAAAAACGGCTTTTAATGACTCCAACCTAAGTGTATGTAAACTTCCGACTTCAACTGTATATGTATATATAGTGGGAAGAACAGGTATTTGATACACTGGCGATTTTGCAGGTTTTCCTACTTACAAAGCATGTAGAGGTCTGTAATTTATCATGGGTACACTTCAACTGTGAGAGACGGAATCTAAAACAAAAATCCAGAAAATCACATTGTATGATTTTTAAGTAATTAATTTGCATTTTATTGCATGACATAAGTATATGATCACCTACCAACCAGTATGAATTCCGGCTCTCACAGACCTGTTAGTTTTTCTTTAAGAAGCCCTCCTGTTCTCCACTCATTACCTGTATTAACTGCACCTGTTTGAACTCGTTACCTGTATAAAAGACACCTGTCCACACACTCAATCAAACAGACTCCAACCTCTCCACAATGACCAAGACCAGAGAGCTGTGTAAGGACATCAGGGATAAAATTTTAGAGCTGCACAAGGCTGGGATGGGCTACAGGACAATAGGCAAGCAGCTTGGTGAGAAGGCAACAACTGTTGGCGCAATTATTAGAAAATGGAAGAAGTTCAAGATGACGGTCCATCACCATCGGTCTGGGGCTCCATGCAAGATCTCACCTCGTGGGGCATCAATGATCATGAGGAAGGTGAGGGATCAGCCCAGAACTACACGGCAGGACCTGGTTAATGACCTGAAGAGAGCTGGGACCACAGTCTCAAATAAAACCATTAGTAACACACTATGCCGTCATGGATTAAAATCCTGCAGCGCACGCAAGGTCCCCCTGCTCAAGCCAGCGCATGTCCAGGCCCGTCTGAAGTTTGCCAATGACCATCTGGATGATCCAGAGGAGGAATGGGAGAAGGTCATGTGGTCTGATGAGACAAAAATAGAGCTTTTTGGTCTAAACTCCACTCGCCGTGTTTGGAGGAAGAAGAAGGATGAGTACAACCCCAAGAACACCATCCCAACTGTGAAGCATGGAGGTGGAAACATCATTCTTTGGGGATGCTTTTCTGCAAAGGGGACAGGACGACTGCACCATATTGAGGGGAGGATGGATGGGGCCATGTATCGCGAGATCTTGGCCAACAACCTCCTTCCCTCAGTAAGAGCATTGAAGATGGGTCGTGGCTGGGTCTTCCAGCATGACAACGACCCGAAACACACAGCCAGGGCAACTAAGGAGTGGCTCCGTAAGAAGCATCTCAAGGTCCTGGAGTGGCCTAGCCAGTCTCCAGACCTGAACCCAATAGAAAATCTTTAGAGGGAGCTGAAAGTCCGTATTGCCCAGCGACAGCCCCGAAACCTGAAGGATCTGGAGAAGGTCTGTATGGAGGAGTGGGCCAAAATCTCTGCTGCAGTGTGTGCAAACCTGGTCAAGACCTACAGGAAACGTATGATCTCTGTAATTGCAAACAAAGGTTTCTGTACCAAATATTAAGTTCTGCTTTTCTGATGTATCAAATACTTATGTCATGCAATAGAATGCAAATTAATTACTTTAAAATCATACAATGTGATTTTCTGGATTTTTGTTTTAGATTCCGTCTCTCACAGTTGAAGTGTACCTATGATAAAAATTACAGACCTCTACATGCTTTGTAAGTAGGAAAACCTGCAAAATCGGCAGTGTATCAAATACTTGTTCTCCCCACTGTATATATGATGTACAGTGCCTTCAGAAAGTATTCACACCCCTTTACTTTTTCCACATTTTGTTGAGTCACAGCCCAAATAAAAAATGTCACGATTTATACACAATACCCCATAATGTCAAAGTGGAATTTTTTTGGTAGAAAATGTTCGAAATTAATAGAAAGGTCCCTCAGTCGAGCAGTGAATTTCAAGCATAGATTCAACCACAAAGACCAGGAAGATTTTTCAATTATTTGCAAAAAGGGCACCAATTGCTAGATGTGTAAAGAAGAAAAAAGTTATTAATTATCCCTACAAAGATACAGGTGTCCTTCCAAACTCCGTTGCCGGAGAGGAAGGAAACTGCTCAGGGATTTCACCATGAGGCCAATGGTTGTGATATGAGAACTGAGGATGGATCAACAACATTGTAGTTACTCCACAATACTAACCTAAATGACAGAGTGAAAAGAAGGAAGAATAAAAATATTCCAAAACATGCATCAAGACACTTAAGTAATACTGCAAAAATTGTGGCAAAGAAATCAACTTTTTCTTCCTAAATACAAAGTGTTGTTTGGGACAAATCCAACACATCACTGAGTACTACTCTTCATATTTTCAAGCATGGTAGTGGCTGCATCATGTTATGGGTATGCTTGTTATTGGCAAGGACTAGGGAGTTTTTTAGGAAATAAATAAATGGAATACAGCTAAGCACAGGCAAAATCTGCGAGGAAAACCTGGTTCAGTCTTCTTTCCTACAGACACTGGGAGACAAATCCACCTTTCAGCAGGACAATAACCTAAAACACAAGGCCAAATCTACACTGGAGTTGCTTACCAAGACGACATTGAATGTTCCTGAGTGGCCTAGTTACAGTTTTGACTTAAATTGGCTTGAAAATGGCTTTCTAGCAATGATCAACAACCAACTTGACAGAGCTTGAAGATAAAAAAATAAATACAAATATTGTACAATCCAGGTGTGCAAAGCTCTTACAGACTTACCCAAAATGACTCACCGCTGTAATCGCTGCTAAAGTTGTTTCTAACATGTATTGTCTCAGGGGGGTGAATGCTTATCTAATCAATATATATTAGTGTTTTACCTTTCATAAATTTGTTATATATGTACATTTTTCTTCCACTTTGACATTACAGAGTATTTTGTGTAGATAGTTGACCAAAAATGACAATTAGATCCATTTTAATCCCACTTGTAACACAACAAAATTTGGAAAAAGTCAAGGGGTGTGAATACTTTCTGAAAACTGTAAATATTATATACATGTGCATATTACATGCATGCCACAAGTGTGGCAATGTCTAAAAGCTGTCCCTGTGATTGGGTATGTTACTAACATTGTTAATAGTTTGATGAAATGTTTGGATGGCGTGTTAGCCTGCTGTCTGTCCAGATGTGAGTCAGTCACTTAGTGAGATGTCTCTCTGAGGAGACAAGTACACCTGGAGAGTCCTGCAGGTGGCTCAAACACACATTTACTCTCCTACCTCTGTGAGTCACCATGAACACGTGCACAGACACACACATAATGCAACATGTACATCATCATGTTAGATGCGTACGAACATACACACACAAACAAACTCAAATGCACATGTGCATTCAGAAAGTATTCAGACCCCTTGACATTTTCCACATTTTGTTAAGTTACAGCCTTATTCTAAAATGGATTAAGTTGTTTGTTTCCTACACACAATACCCCATAATGACAAAGCAACAACAGTTTTTAGAAATGTTTGCAAATGTATTAAAAATGAAAAAATAGAAATATCACATTTACATAAGTATTCAGACCCTTTACTCAGTACTTTGTTGAAGCACCTTTGGCAGCGATTACAGCCTTGAGTCTTCTTGGGTATGACGCTACAAGCTTGGCACACCTGTATTTGGGGAGTTTCTCTCATTCTTCTCTGCAGATCCTCTTAAGCTCTGTCAGGTTGGATGGGGAGCGTCGCTGCACAGCTATTTTCAGGTCTCTCCGGAGATGTTCGATCGGGTTCAAGTCCGGACTCTGGCTGGGCCACTCAAGGACATTCAGAGACTTGTCCCGAAGCCTGTTGGAAGGTGAACCTTCACCACAAAGGCCTGTTTGGTGGAGTGCTGCAGAGATGGTTGTCCTTCTGGAAGGTTCTCCCATCTCCACAGAGGATCTCTGGAGCTCTGTCAGAGTGACAATCGGGTTCTTGGTCACCTCCCTGACCAGGGCCCTTCTCCCCCATTTGCTCAGTTTGGCCGGGCGGCCAGCTCTAGGAAGAGTCTTGGTGGTTCTAAACTTTGGAGGCCACTGTGTTCTTGGAGACCTTTAATGCTGCAGACATTTTTTTGTACCCTTCCCCAGATCTGTGCATCGACGCAATCCTGTCTCGGAGCTCTAGGGACAATTCCTTTGACCTCATGGCTTGTTTTTTGCTGACATGCACTGTCAAATGTGGAACCTTATATAGACAGGTGTGTGCCTTTCCAAATCATGTCCAATTAATTGAATTTACCACAGTTGGACTCCAAGTTGTAGAAACATCTCAAGGATGATCAATGGAAACAGGATGCACCTAAGCTCAATTTCGAGTCTCATAGCAAAGGGTCTGAATACTTATGTAAATAAGGTATTTCAGTTTTTTATTTTAAAGAAATTAGCTGAAATTTCTAAAAACCTGTTTTCGCTATGTCATTACGGCGTATTGTGTGTAGGTTGATGTGGAAAAAATTTATGTAATCCATTTTGGAATATGGCTATAAAGTAACAAGTAGAGCGGCAGGTAGCTTAGTGGTTAAGAGCGTTGTGCCAGTAACCGAAAGGTCGCTGGTTCTAATCCCCGAGCCGACTAGGTGAAAAATCTGTCAATGTGCCCTTGAGCAAGGCACTTAACCCTAATTGCTCCTGTAAGTCGCTCTGGATAAGAGTGTCTGCTAAATGACTAAAATGTAAATGTAACAAAATGTGGAAAGTCAAGGGTTCTGAAAACACTGTGTGCACAATTATTAGGCAAGTTGTATGTTTGAGGATTAATTGTATTATTGAACAACTACAGTGCTCTCGGTCAATCCAAAATGTTAATAAACCTCAAACCTGAATATTTAACAAAGTAAAAGTGAGGTTTTGCCTTTCTTTGGAGAATATCTATGTGTGCACAATTATTGGGCAACTATTAGTGTGCAGAATTATTATGCAACTAAATGAAAAACGAAAAGTTCCCCATTGTTTATTTTTCATCTGTTAAAGTGAGAATAATAAACAAACAACTCAAAATTGACCGTTTAAGAAGGGACCACAAGTTCTCAATAGGGTTTAGGTCAGGTGAGGAAGGGGGCCATGTCATTATTCTTTCATCTTTAAGGCCTTTACTGGCTTGCCACGCAGTGGAGTACTTCGATGCATGCAATGGAGCATTGTCTTTCATAAAAATCATGGTCTTCTTGAAAGATGCAGACTTTTTCCTGTACCACTGCTTGATGAAAGTGTCTTCTAAAAACTGGCAGTAGGTTTGGGAGTTGAGTTTGAGTCCATCTTCAACCCGAAAAGGTCCAACTAGCTCATCTTTAATAATACCAGCCCATACCAGTACCCCACCTCCACCTTGCTGGCGTCTGAGTCGAAGTGGAGCTCCGTGCCCGTTACTGATCCAGCCACGGGCCCATCCATCTGGTCCGTCAAGAGTCACTCTCATCTCATCAGTCCATAAAACCTTTGAAAAATCTGTCTTCAGATATTTCTTGGCCCATTCTTGTGTCTTGTTCAGTGGTGGTCGGGTTTCAGCCTTCCTTACCTTGGCCATGTCTCTGAGCACTGAACACCTTGTACTTCTGGGCACTCCAGGTAGGTTGCAGTTCTGGAATATGACAGCACTGGAGCATAATGGGTTCCTGGTAGCTTCACGTTTGATTCTTCTCAAATCTTTGGCAGTTAATTTGCGTCTTTTTTTCTCAACACGGTTCTTGCAACCCTGTTGACTATTTGCAACAAAACATTTGATGGTTCTGTGATCATGCCCCAATATCTTAGCATTTTCAAGAGTGCTGCATCCCTCTGAAATACTTTTTACAATTTTTGACTTTTCAGAGTCAGTTAAATCTATTTTTTTGCCTGAGGAAAAGAAGTTGCCTAATAATTATACACACCTTGATATAGGGTGTTGATCTCCTTAGGCCACACCCTTCCTCATTACACAAATACACATCACCTGATATGCTTAAATCCAATAAACATTCCAGTTTATACAGCTTGGAGTTGGGAAATATGCATAATAATGATGATATGGTCAAAATACTGACTTGCCTAATAATTGTGCACACAGTGTAATTTCCGAATGCACTGTATATACACTACAAAACCTTCCTAATATTGAGTTGTACCCCCGTTTGCCCTCAGAACAGTCTAAATTCGTCGGGGCATGGACTCTACAAGATGTCAAAAGCGTTCCACAGGGATGCTGGCCCATGTTGACTCCAATGCTTCCCACAGTTGTGTCAAGTTGGCTGGATGTCCTTTGGGTGGTGGACTATTCTTGATACACACGGGAATCTGTTGAGCGTGAAAAACCCAGCAGCGTTGCAGTTCTTGACATACTCAAACCGGTGCGCCTGGCACCTACTACCATACCCCGTTCAAAGGCACTTAAATATTTTGTCTTGCCCATTCACCCTCTGAATGGCACACATACACAATCCATGTCGCAATTGTCTCAAAGAAAATCCTTCTTTAACCTGTCTCCTCCCCTTCATCTACACTGATTTAAGTGGATTTAACGGGTGACATCAATAAGGCAATCATAGGTTTCACCTCGATTCACCTGGTCAGTCTGTCATGGAAAGATTAGTTCCTAATGTTTTGTACACCCAGTGTACATTAATTTAGCTCTCATTCACACAGATAATTTAATACTTTATGTGGGTGTACAATGAAAGAAATTGTCTTGCATCCTTTGGAGGTCACACAAACACACAACAGTCATACAACGACAGTCTCAGAGACAAAGGGCTCGGTTCAATCCGTATCGCAGAAGTTCAGCGCTGTAGCGCGACTGAAATTAAAAGGCAATGTTCGCGGAGACGGCATTCACAGTAAACGATGCATTACATTTCAATCGCGCTATGGTGCTGAACTTCCGTGATACGGGAAAAGTATTTCCTGCTCCAGGTATTCTAGGTGTCCTAGCTCTGCTCTAGATGAGCGCCAGTCCAGTGCTAAGTGTCCCTCTCTGTCCCTGTATGTGTGTGTGTGTGTGTCGTTTGTCATGTGCTTGTGGAGTGTAACTGCCTGGTGACAGAGAGGAGAGCTGATCCATTAGCCAGACGTCACACCCAGGGCTCTGCTGGCCTGGTAATGCTGGGATAATTGAACTTGTTTACATCTCCTCTGGGAAATCACTAGAGGCTCACAACACACTGGAGAGAGAGGGACATGGAATGGAATGGAGGGTGGCAGTGTGTGTGTGTGTGAACTCCATTGCTGAGTGTGTGCATATGCAATGTTGGTTGCATAAGTATGCATGTTGGAGAGATGGGAAAATAGTGTGTGTGTGTGTGTCAGGGCTTTAGTGTATTGTGTGTGAATGTTCAAGTCTCTCGAGTGCACTGTATGTTCTATAAAAGATGACTGTATGTGTATTGATAAATTGTACATTGTTGCAGTGGTGGGTGAGTGATGCGTTCTGGTGCATGTGTAACCTGAGATTCAGGTTGCAATGCAGGCGGGTGTGCAAATACGTGAGTAGAATTTGTTACCACGGCAACAGGCTCAGAGTGAGTCAATGCAATGTAATGGCTGGTGCGGTTCTATTAGGGAGAGAAGAGGCAGTTTCCATAGCGACTCAGCATCGCAGCTGCCTGCCTGTGTCTCTGTGTGTCTCTGTGTGTCAGCGTGCTCGCGTTTGTGAATTTTCCTACATGCATCTCTGTGTCCGGGAAGAGACCTTGCCATGTACAACTTTGTTCTAGCTCATCCCATCCCACCATTTTCTTGTGACGTTACTCTTTCTCCTTCTCTCGCTCACTCCCTCTCTCGCTGTGTCTGTCTCTGTTCAGGGACCATGTATCTTTCTCTCTCTCTCTCTCGCTTTCTTTTCTTTCTCTCGCTCTCCTTTCTGTCTCTTTTCTTTTCCCATCTTTCTCTAAGTTACATTATGTATTTTCTCATCTCTCTCTCTCTCTTTTCCCATCTCTCTCCAATCTCCCTCCAGAAGCTCATCGGGGTAAACAGATGCTGTGGCTGTTATTTATGTTTCCACTTGGTCTGGCTTTCATATGAATTATCCACAGGGCAGATGCTAGGCTAACTGGGAAGCACTGGCAGCTCTGCCTTATTAAAGACCAACAGACCGTACCACAGTACCTCACAGAGAGGGGGGACCCTGAGAAAACCCCAGATCGTACTATTATACTGCAGTAGGAGTGACAGTGGCAGACTGTACCATAACTCACCAGAGGGGACAGTGAGAGTTACAGACTGTACCATAATACCACAGAGAGAGGGGACGCAGGGAAACTTACAGATAGGACCACAACACTACAAGAGGGGACAGAAAAATACAGACTGCCATAACAACACTAAGACGATGTTCCAATATCTAAAATGGCTAACCATTGATAAGAGACAGGACTGGATAGGTTCCAACCTTATAGCTATCAACACTATTTCTTTAACCTATAATGTCGCCTCAGTTCAGTATGAAGAGCAGGAATGAGGAGAAGAAGCTTATGGGGATATAGTTAGAGATGAGGCCACAGTAGAAAAGGGAGATCGAATGGCACATACAGATGTTGGATCTTAATTTGTGGCAGTTTGCTTGTGCAGGTAAATAATCCTGGAGCAACAGGAAATGTGTATTATTATGTCGATTATAATGAATGGACATTTTTTGTAGGGGTTGATCAATTGTTTGTTTAGGGCAAGTGGAAATTGCACACTTTAGAAGCCTTTTTAGACCTTGAATACACTACAATTTTGCATTTCCTGCCATGCAGGACAATTCTCAGCAACAAAAGAGTGATCAAATTAAGATCCTACATCTGTATGCAGAGAGGGATATATTATTTTTTGTGAATGGCTCTTTGGACATTTCTGTGGATTGTTTTTTGTAGATAGTTGAAAAGTTGTCATCTGTTTCTCAGAATCTAAAGTGTTTCTACTCTCTCATCCTCTCATCTTTTGTGTGTGTGCATACTTCTGTGTGTGTCCATGTCCCTCTCTTCGCCACAGATATCCGTGACCGTCGGAAGAAGCCGGTGATGTTGTTCATCCATGGCGGTTCCTACATGGAGGGGGCGGGAAACATGTTCGACGCCAGCATCCTCGCAGCCTACGGCAACGTCATCGTGGTCACCATGAACTACCGTCTTGGCGTGCTCGGTGAGTCTGTCTGTCAGCATACTATGACATCACTTCCTGTTTGCACCATCAGGGCTCAGAACTCTTATTATATGGTTTCACTCTCCTGAATTAGACGCCTTACAATTACAGTAAGGGAAAAAAGTATTTGATCCCCTGCTGATTTTGTATGTATGCCCACTGACAAAGACATGATCAGTCTATAATTTGAATGGTAGGTTTATTTGAACAGTGAGAGACAGAATAATAACAAAAAAATCCAGAAAAACGCATGTCAAAAATGTTATAAATTGATTTGCATTTTAATGAGGGAAATAAGTATTTGACGCCTCTGCAAAACATTACTTAGTACTTGGTGGCAAAACCCTTGTTGGCAATCACAGAGGTCAGACGTTTCTTGTAGTTGGCCACCAGGTTTGCACACATCTCAGGAGGGATTTTGTTCCACTCCTCTTTGCAGATCTTCTCCAAGTCATTAAGGTTTCAAGGCTGACGTTTGGCAACTCGAACCTTCAGCTCCCTCCACAGATTTTCTATGGGATTAAGGTCTAGAGACTGGCTAGGCCACTCCAGGACCTTAATGTGCTTCTTCTTGAGCCACTCCTTTGTTGCCTTGGCCGTGTGTTTTGGGTCATTGTCATGCTGGAATACCCATCCACGACCCATTTTCAATGCCCTGGCTGAGGGAAGGAGGTTCTCACCCAAGATTTGACGGTACATGGCCCCGTCCATCGTCCCTTTTGATGTGGTGAATTTATCCTGTCCCCTTAGCAGAAAAACACCCCCAAAGCATAATGTTTCCACCTCCATGTTTGATGGTGTTCTTGGGGTCATAGGCAGCATTCCTCCTCCTCCAAACACGGCGAGTTGAGTTGATGCCAAAGAGCTCCATTTTGGTCTCATCTGACCACAACACTTTCACCCAGTTCTCCTCTGAATCATTCAGATGTTCATTGGCAAACTTCAGACGGCCCTGTATATGTGCTTTCTTGATCAGGGAGACCTTGCGTGCGCTACAGGATTTCAGTCCTTCACAGCGTAGTGTGTTACCAATTGTTTTCTTGGTGACTATGGTCCCAGCTGCCTTGAGATCATTGACAAGATCCTCCCGTGTAGTTCTGGGCTGATTCCTCACCGTTCTCATGATCATTGCAACACCACAAGGTAAGATCTTGCATGGAGCCCCAGGCCGAGGGAGTCTTTTGTGTTTCTTCCATTTGCGAATAATCGCACCAACTGTTGTCACCTTCTCACCAAGCTGCTTGGCGATGGTCTTGTAGCCCATTCCAGCCTTATGTAGGTCTACAATCTTGTCCCTGACATCCTTGGAGAGCTCTTTGGTCTTGGCCATGGTGGAGAGTTTGGAATCTGATTGATTGATTGCTTCTGTGGACAGGTGTCTTTTATACAGGTAACAAGCTGAGATTAGGAGAACTCCCTTTAAGAGTGTGCTCCTAATCTCAGCTCATTACCTGTATAAAAGACACCTGGGAGCCAGAAATCTTTCTGATTGAGAGGGGATCAAATACTTATTTCCCGCATTAAAATGCAAATCAATTTATTTTTTGTTGTTCAAATAAACCTACCATTACAATTATAGACTGATCATTTCTTTGTCAGTGGGCAAACGTACAAAATCAGCAGGGGATCAAATACTTTTTTCCCTCACTGTATATAGAACGAGGCGCTTTTCCTAATCATGTGAACTGACCAGGAAAATATCTGGGTCCTAGTTATAGTCTACAGCTAGGTCCTGGAGTTGGTCCTGATCACGTGACCCGACCAGTAGAACCATCTGGCCCTAACTGCACCATGTGACCTGAGTAGTGTGTGCGCTGCCCTGTCCCTGTGTACAGACTCTGAGCCAGTGGATAGGAGTTTAGTCAGCTGTTCTGAGGGGCTTACTGCCTGTTTGTTTCTACAGCTGTTTGTTTGTGTACTGCACACCACAGAGTATCCACAGTCTCCATTGTTGTTGCCAGGTTGGGTAATGGGATCTGGTTTACTGTATCAAGCCTGTCTCAACACATCAGAGTATTCATAAAGAGAGAAATGGGAGTATTTTAGGATACAGTCCAAGCTTTACCACTAGTGTAAACACAGTGGAACGTGATCCAGACAGTCATTGACAGACGGGGCCAGCCAGTAGAGAGGGAACATACTGAGAGTTTGAGGTACACCTGGCAGCAGCTCTGTCCTGCCTGCTAGATTTGGGCTTGTCTGTTTTGTGGTGCATGTTTCATGTGCTGTTATGCTTTTCTACATCTGTCTGACAAACTGGAAACATTAGCGAGTGGAGCGTGAGAACAATCCGCTGTGTGAACTCAAGTTTCCTTAATGCACTATTTAATCATTGCGCTGCATCCAAACAGTCCTCAATGGTGTGCATGTTCGCATCATTCCCAAGCCAAATAGTAGTCTTTGCCTGTGTGATTTACATACTGTATGTCTGGTGTGTGTAGTTTACCTGTGTGTAGTGTACAGTATTTATGCACCACACACACACAATGACATACAGGGGTAGAGAGTGATCCTGCTGAGCGATGCAGAGGGATGATGCAGTGCCCTCGATTCCTCTAACATGGTTGAACATTTTGGGACGTGGGCGAGTAGACTAACCTCTGTCTCTCTCTCTCTCTCCTCTTTCTCGCTCCCTCTGTTCTGCTTTTAATGGGTTACTCTACTGTACTGAAGGGATTATGTGTGTGTGTTTGTTTGTGCATGTGCTTAGTTTGTGTGTGTGGGTGTGGGAGTGTTTGTGAGTTTGTATGTGTGTGTAGGTGCATGTGGGTGTGTACGTACATGTAAGTGTGTGTGTGTGTATTTGTATGTGTTTGCGTACATGTGTGTATGTTTGAATATGTAACAGTACAATGTGCCATCCATCCTCACCACCTCTCTCATTGGACAAAACAATTTGCCTAAAAAGAGAAAGACAACTGCTCCACATTTCAACAATAGGTTTAGCACATAATCACATAGTATTATCCCATACTTATACACACACACACTCACATATGCCAACCTTATTTCAGCCTGTGCCTTTAACAGAGAGATAGGGGGCGGGAAGGAGAGAGAAGGGGGTTAGAGACAGATGAGAGAGGGAGAAACAGAGAGAGACAGAGCTAGAGAGAGGGAAGGAGCAACAGAAGGGGGATATGGGAACAGTCTAAAAATAAATCATCAGAAGTGCTTTTTAAATCTGCAGCGAAGCAAAGAATTCATTCAAACAAATGTTAATGCAATGTGGCCACGGCACACACCACACACATACAGGCTTATGCACATCTCTATATACTCTCATACAGTTACATAAGGGTTTCAAACAAATTAAACGTTTGGTGGATGTTAAGTTAATTCATGATATGCTTGTGCTTTGTGAAAGGGGAGAATATGTCAATGAGAAAATCCAAAATGTCTGTCATGTACAGTCCAGGAGTGTTTAGCATGGTGAAGATAGGAGTGTGTATACTAGAACCTACCTACAGTAGAGCTCCACCCCAACACTGCTGCCTGCTCACCTTGCCCCTACCTTCCTCCTGGCTGCTCCAGGCCCATGCAGCCTCCTGATTTGTGCTGAAAAGCCATCTGGTCAGACTAATTAAACTCTGGGAAAGGGCCCACAATCACTGGGCTGTGGGAGAGAGAGAGGCTTTCTCACATTAGGAAGAGAGATGATGGATGATTCTTCTTCTTCTTGATAGTATGAGGCGGAGGAGGCTGAGGAGGAGGAGGAGTAGGAGGAGGAGGAGGAGGAGGAGGAGGAGCGGGAGGAGGAGGAGGAGGAGGGAGGAGAGGAGGAGGAGGAGGAGGAGGAGGAGGAGGGAGGAGGGAGGAGGAGGAGGGGAGGAGGAGGAGGAGGACGGAGGAGGAGGAGGAGGAGGAGGAGGAGGAGGAGGAGGAGGAGGAGGAGGAGGAGGAGGTGGAGGCTGCGGAGGATAGTCGGAGGAGGCTGAGTAGGCGGAGGAGTAGGCTTGAGGATCGATTCTTCTTTTCTGCTTCTTATTCTTGACCTTCGACGTCTGTACTATGGCTTTTCTTCTTCTCTTATTCGTCGTATTCTTCTTCTTCTTCTTCTTATTCTTCTTCTTCTTCTATCTTCTTCTTCTTCTTTCTCAGATCAGTCCCATCTGATTGACAGAATCGGATGACTCTTAATGAGTTCATCTCATGTGTTTGTTTCTCTCCCTCTGCTACCAACAAACACCAAATCCCAGAATGACGATTCCCAGCCCTCTCCGGATGCACCCAAGGAGTTATTTTAGAGTTAATAATACTTCAGCATACATTCTATTGGTTTGGATGTACAGTATAATTACAACCCAGGCTCAGATTTAGTAAATAGAGCCAGTTTTGGGATTTGAGTATTATGAGAAATAACATGTTCCCGGTTATAATGAGGTGATCATTTGGTTATTGTTGCATGGGGCTGTCAGGAGAAAGTGAATTTGCCTGCATAAATGAACTGAGTGGAGGAAGCATGAAATGAGAAGAGAACAGGGTGTAGTGTTACACTAGAATAAACCATAACCCAATACTGCATACCACAACAGGATAACATTGTAGAGAGCACAACATTTGACAATACAACAGCCAAATAATAGAATACAGTGCCATAGTGGTTTCTATAAAACCCACATATACTGATGAAGGCCACATTGGATACAGTTGATCTCAAAGGTTACCTCACAATGCACAATGAGCAATTTCACTTATGAGTCCAATTTTACGCTGTTAGATACAGGCTCGTGTTTACAACAATATTAAAAAGAACAAACCGTCCATGAACAATTTAGTCTGAAAACACAGCACTTGTCTCAGTGAGCACAACCTCATATGTGGAGGACAAACAGCTTACAGTAAGAACAAACACAGGAAATTTGACTTGTAACGGTAGCTAACTCCGTTCCATACAAATGTGGGCAACCGCAGCATTCAAACAAGGCTGCAATGAAAACTAATGGGACTGTAGCGACTCTGTTGGCATCAAAATCCGGGGTGTGAACTAAGTTTCGATTCAGCGTTGATTGACATGGTAATGGACCAATAGTATTGGAGAAAAGTTGAAAAAACTGACCCCGCTGACGCTGTACGTTAAAGTGTGACATGTCACGATGTAACGTACGGCACGCATTATTCAACTAATTCTGTGCCGTATAGCCTCTTTCCACCAGGTGTAGCGCTTCTCTCACAGATTAAAAACAAGAAATTATCAATGGTGAGTGTAATGGTGAGTGTAAAGTTAATTACTTGTGAGTTCATCAATAGTTAATTCAATCAATTGTAAATGTTTTGCGTAATCACTGCGAGCCATCATGACTCTCAAAAACCGTGACACCCACAGTTTAATTGTGAATATAAATTTAGCACCGCCCTAAAAACCCTATTCGAATTCGACACAAACCTTCAAATACAGTGGGGGGAACAAGTATTTGATACACTGCCGATTTTGCAGATTTTCCTACTTACAAAGCATGTAGAGGTCTGTAATTTTTATCATAGGTACACTTCAACTGTGAGAGACGGAATCTAAAACAAAAATCCAGAAAATCACATTGTATGAGTTTAAAGTAATTAATTTGCATTTTATTGCATGACATAGTATTTGATACATCAGAAAAGCAGAACTTAATATTTGGTACAAAAACCTTTGTTTGCAATTACAGAGATCATACGTTTCCTGTAGGTCTTGACCAGATTTGCACACACTGCAGCAGGGATTTTGGCCCACTCCTCCATACAGACCTTCTCCAGATCCTTCAGGTTTCGGGGCTGTCGCTGGGCAATACGGACTTTCAGCTCCCTCCAAAGATTTTCTATTGGGTTCAGGTCTGGAGACTGGCTAGGCCACTCCAGGACCTTGAGATGCTTCTTACGGAGCCACTCCTTAAGATTCCTTAAGACTCCTGTCTTCCACTCCTGTGTGATTCGGGTCGTTGTCATGCTGGAAGACCCAGCCACGACCCATCTTCAATGCACATTAATTACTTAAAAATCATACAATGTGATTTTCTGGATTTTTGTTTTAGATTCCGTCTCTCACAGTTGAAGTGTACCTATGATAAAAATTACAGACCTCTACATGCTTTGTAAGTAGGAAAACCTGCAAAATCGGCAGTGTATCAAATACTTGTTCTCCCCACTGTAGGTATGTAATGAGACATTATATAAACTCTTTATAGTGTTTTATTTACATTTTGGAGGTGATAAGTTGGACAAATCAGGTGAAAAAAGCCAGTTCCCCACACGACATCTCCCCCTTTCACTATGACGCAGTAGCTTTCGCTTCTCCACCCACCATTTTTAAAAAGACCCGGCGGAGCTCCATTACTTTCTTCAATCATGCAGAGACGGGCAGCATGAAGGTCTCGTCATTGATTTTGCTGGTAAGGGGAGAAATTGTGCTTTACAATGGTATTCATATTATAGTTGACCTGGAAGTATTACGTTTTGTACGGAACAGCGCGATGTACAAAAGTGTGTTAGCTACTGTTACATCTGTGGATTTACCTCATTAAGGGACCAATTTTATGCACAACCTGACCCCACTTCCATAGCTTTGAAGGCTGTCTCTTTATTTCTCTGTGTTTGTCCCTCTGTCTCTATAATTCTGTTTGTCTGTATCTCTCCAAGTCTTCTTACTGTATATATGTCTCTCTCTTATTGGCCTTGTATCTATGATGGGTTGGTTCCCTCCTCCTAATGGGTTGGTTCCCTCCTCGTAATGGGTTGGTTCCCTCCTCATAATGCACAGACATACCCCTCCCTTTATTTTCCTCCCATGTGTCCATCACTCTTCATCTTCCAAGTTCCATTTGACTAATGCACTGAATCTATATGCTTTATTTGAATCCGTCACCGTTCACATCTCCTTTTTCTTTTTGGCCCTCTTTCCATTCCATACCACCTTTCCTCCTCCCCTCTCTGGGTAGAGCTCTCTATTTGCCTACTCATGTATTCATAGAACCGTTTGTTCGGTTACTTCCTAATAATTGTCCTGTTCATGTCTGAGACACTGGGTTTGTAGGGGCCTATTCCCTCACACTGTAGGCTAGCTATCTCCTATACAATACCTATACACACCTTAGTGGCTGGACACACACACAAGTAGTTGATGTAGAGTTTGGTCTGTCAAACTGTATTTCACACCTCATGATTCATGAGGGGGGCGTGGCAGGAGGTGATCAAATTAGGTAATTCAATTAGATAACCACGTGTTGTATGTAAACACCTTTGATCAGACTACTTTGATATGGAGGACTTTGATGTAGGTTTTGCTGCAGGGTGTGTGTGTGTGTGTGTGTGTGTACCCAGGCTTGTTGTGATCCTGCGGGTAGTGTATTGGGCTATATGCTTTTGATCAAGTAGAGTCCTTGGTGAATTGTGGGACAAAGATGTGTTATGCCGTTGATCAGTGGTAGTGTATTAGGCTATTTGGGGAACCAAAGGTCTATTGTGCCTTTTGATCAATTTTGTGGGGTGGAGAGGAGGGGGGGTTTGGTTGGCCATGTTGAAACAGTTTTGGTGTTGAGGGTAGGGTTTTGGTTGGGGGGCCTGTTGAAACTGTTTTGAATGGGGTGTGTTTTGGGGTCTAGGTTGAAATCCAATATTGTAATCAAACTAGTTGGGCTTAGACTTAGGCCTCCCAGAGCATTCACACTGGCCCAGTGGGGAAACAACAAGCTGTGGTCTGGACTTCACAGAGCATTGGAAGTTACTCTTTTTTTTTTTGCACTTTGGTTACATTTTTATGTGGAACATTTTCACAACTCTAAGCACAAGAATCAAATCAGGTCATCAAAATGGCTCATGTTTCAAAACTCTACGCACATTTTCAATTACAACAAACAAATTCACAAAGTCACTTGTTCACTGCACCAAAATGTCAATATGGATACATATTCAATCTAAGTATCTGCTTTTCAAAATGAAATATTTGCTTTACTTTTGATATGACTTTCATGTCATTTGATAACAATACGATGAACTATCACTTTGAAAACTATCACAATCAAACTGCTCAAACCTGATAACTACTGAACCAAAATGTTGTAATGCCTAGTTAACATATATAGTTTGATAACGGCTGAACACTGTACATTTCTAAATGTATCACATCAATATATGTTGGAAGGTAAAACCAAATCATATATGGATGTAAATACTACATCATAGAACAAAGTGGAAAGAGTCACTGTGCTACCATTTGGAATTATAGTGTAGTGTACAATAAACTGCTGAAATATCTGGTTGTATCTAACAATATATTCCACTCATTAACTGAATTTCATTGATAGACTGTAAGTAGAGAGACAGGCGATACTGCATTAGTTGACAAGTCATGTAAAAAAAAGTGATCTTGTACAATGTTGCATGGGGGGCAGAAATGGCATACAACACCGTGCAACGTTTTTACAATAGCCAATTGCTTTACAATACCCCATATTTCTGATGATTTCTCCTACGTATGCACTTTATAAGGATAATCAAACTGTAAGACTGGGATATTTCTTAAAATGCTCACAACCTGCCATTGGATACAAATTATTTTTTAAATTGCATGTCAAGTTATAGTCAAATACTGCATGGAAGATTATCTACTATTCTTTCTATTCAGAACTTCAAAAATAACAGTTTTGAAATGTGTATCTTATATTTTTGCTATTGGATTAAATGGTAGTTAAAAATAATAAATGGTGAGCATATCGTTACCTGATGTATTGGATGGATTTTCCTTAAAGATTTTCCATATGTGATTATATTTACAGTGCAGCTTGAAGGTATGTGAACCCGTTGTACAATTACAGATTTTTTCAGTTTTTACCATGAAATCTTCATTTAATCAGAACCAGTCTTTTTGATCTGACATAACAGGTTTATATTTACCAAAACCAAATGTTGGTGTAGAGGAAATCATGTGTGTAGTAGAAAAACAAAATTTAAAAAGGAATAAGTGCAGGTGCAAAAATAAGTGAACCCCAAGTTGCATTGGTTAAATCAAGTAGGTAAGTAGAATCAGGTGGGTAAATAATTAGCTACCAAATGAACCAATCAAAGGTGAGATCTTTAGGAAAGTGTTTGGGCGGGACTCTAAATATCAGTTTGGTTACCCATCCAGGTGAATGCAAAGCACACCATGCCGAGAGGAAAG